AGTGTATCAATGAATCATATAGTCACCATAGTGTATCAATGAATCATATAGTCACCATAGTGTATCAACCAATCATATAGTTACATAGTGTATCAACCAATCATATAATCACCCTAGTGTATCAATGAATCATATAGTCACCATAGTGTATCAATGAATCATATAGTCACCATACTGTATCAACCAATCATATATTCACCATAGTGTATCAACCAATCATATAGTCACCATAGTGTATCAACCAATCATATAGTCACCATAGTGTATCAACCAATCATATAGTCACCATAGTTTATTAACCAATCATATAGTCACCATAGTGTATCAACGAATCATATAGTCACCATACTGTATCAATGAATCATAGTCACCATAGTGTATCAACCAATCATATATTCACCATAGTGTATTAATTAATGATATAGTCACCATACTGTATCAATGAATCATATAGTCACCATAGTGTATAAACCAATCATATATTCACCATAGTGTATTAATTAATCATATAGTCACCATAGTGTATCAATGAATCATATAGTCACCATAGTGTATCAATGAATCATATAGTCACCATAGTGTATCAACCAATCATATAGTTACATAGTGTATCAACCAATCATATAATCACCCTAGTGTATCAATGAATCATATAGTCACCATAGTGTATCAATGAATCATATAGTCACCATACTGTATCAACCAATCATATATTCACCATAGTGTATCAACCAATCATATAGTCACCATAGTGTATCAATGAATCATATAGTCACCATAGTGTATCAACCAATCATATAGTTACATAGTGTATCAACCAATCATATAGTCACCATAGTTTATCAACCAATCATATAGTCACCATAGTGTATCAACCAATCATATAATCACCATAGTGTGTCAACCAATCATATAATCACCCTTGTGTATCAACCAATCATATAGTCACCATAGTTTATCAACCAATCATATAGTCACCATAGTGTATCAACCAATCATATAGTCACCATAGTGTATCAACCAATCATATAGTCACCATAGTTTATCAACCAATCATATAGTCACCATAGTGTATCAACGAATCATATAGTCACCATAGTGTATCAACCAATCATATAGTCACCATAGTGTATCAACCAATCATATAGTCACTATAGTGTATCAACCTATCATATAGTCCTCATAGTGTATCAACCAATCATATAGTCACTATAGTGTATCAACCAATCATATAGTCACCATAGTGTATCAACGAATCATATAGTCACCATACTGTATCAATGAATCATAGTCACCATACTGTATCAACCAATCATATATTCACCATAGTGTATCAACCAATCATATAGTCACCATAGTGTATCAATGAATCATATAGTCACCATAGTGTATCAACCAATCATATAGTCACTATAGTGTATCAACCAATCATATAGTCACCATACTGTATCAATGAATCATATAGTCCCCATACTGTATCAACCAATCATATATTCACCATAGTGTATCAACCAATCATATAGTCACCATAGTGTATCAATGAATCATATAGTCACCATAGTGTATCAACCAATCATATAGTTACATAGTGTATCAACCAATCATATAGTCACCATAGTGTATCAACCTATCATATAGTCACCATAGTGTATTAACCAATCATATAATCACCCTAGTGTATCAACCGATCATATAGTCACCATAGTGTATCAACCAATCATATAGTCACCATAGTGTATCAACCAATCATATAGTCACCATAGTGTATCAACCAATCATATAGTCACCATAGTTTATTAACCAATCATATAGTCACCATAGTGTATCAACGAATCATATAGTCACCATACTGTATCAATGAATCATAGTCACCATAGTGTATCAACCAATCATATATTCACCATAGTGTATTAATTAATGATATAGTCACCATACTGTATCAATGAATCATATAGTCACCATAGTGTATAAACCAATCATATATTCACCATAGTGTATTAATTAATCATATAGTCACCATAGTGTATCAATGAATCATATAGTCACCATAGTGTATCAATGAATCATATAGTCACCATAGTGTATCAACCAATCATATAGTTACATAGTGTATCAACCAATCATATAATCACCCTAGTGTATCAATGAATCATATAGTCACCATAGTGTATCAATGAATCATATAATCACCATAGTGTGTCAACCAATCATATAATCACCCTTGTGTATCAACCAATCATATAGTCACCATAGTTTATCAACCAATCATATAGTCACCATAGTGTATCAACCAATCATATAGTCACCATTGTGTATCAACCAATCATATAGTCACCATAGTTTATCAACCAATCATATAGTCACCATAGTGTATCAACGAATCATATAGTCACCATAGTGTATCAACCAATCATATAGTCACCATAGTGTATCAACGAATCATATAGTCACTATAGTGTATCAACCTATCATGTAGTCCTCATAGTGTATCAACCAATCATATAGTCACTATGGTGTATCAACCTATCATATAGTCCTCATAGTGTATCAACCAATCATATAGTCACTATAGTGTATCAACCAATCATATAGTCACCATAGTGTATCAACCAATCATATAGTCACCATAGTGTATCAATGAATCATAGTCACCATAGTGTATCAACCAATCATATATTCACCATAGTGTATCAACCAATCATATAGTCACCATAGTGTATCAATGAATCATATAGTCACCATAGTGTATCAATGAATCATATAGTCACCATAGTGTATCAACCAATCATATAGTCACCATAGTGTATCAACCAATCATATAGTCACCATAGTGTATCAATGAATCATATAGTCACCATAGTGTATCAACCAATCATATAGTTACATAGTGTATCAACCAATCATATAGTCACCATAGTGTATCAACCTATCATATAATCACCCTAGTGTATCAACCGATCATATAGTCACCATAGTGTATCAACCAATCATATAATCACCATAGTGTATCAACCAATCATATAGTCACCATAGTGTATCAACCAATCATATAGTCACCATAGTGTATCAACCAATCATATAGTCACCATAGTGTATCAACCAATCATATAGTCACCATAGTGTATCAACCAATCATATAGTCACCATAGTGTATCAACAATCATATAGTCATCATAGTGTATCAACCAATCATATAGTCACCATAGTGTATCAACCAATCATATAGTCACCATAGTGTATCAACCAATCATATAGTCACCATAGTGTATCAACCAATCATATAGTCACCATAGTGTATCAACCAATCATATAGTCACCATAGTGTATCAACCAATCATATAGTCACCATAGTGTATCAACCAATCATATAGTCACCATAGTGTATCAACCAATCATATAGTCACCATAGTGTATCAACCAATCATATAGTCACCATAGTGTATCAACCAATCATATAGTCACCATAGTTTATCAACCAATCATATAGTCACCATAGTGTATCAACCAATCATATAGTCACCATAGTTTATCAACCAATCATATAGTCACCATAGTTTATCAACCAGTCATATAGTCACCATAGTTTATCAACCGTATAACCAGAGTATTGATCATTTCACTATGATCATTTGACGTCTACTAAAATTTCTCAAAAATATAGGAAGTTGAATTTTTTCGAGAAATTATTAGGCGTTTTCTGAAATTTAGCGTACTATAAAAGAATATAATTAAACATAAAATTTATTTCTTTTTTAACTATAAGAGTGAACGAGAGTGAATGATTCTGAACAGTATTTGAAAACAATTTGGAACATAACATTAAATTTTTAGAATAAGGATGAAGTCAATATTTGAAATAGGATAACGGCTGTAATACTTTTTATCTAAATACATTAAATAAGAAATAAAGTTAAATTACAAACAAACAGTGGCGTAGCATGCTCAGTAATTTATTTTTCTTGGGGGGAGGGAATTTTCATACATTCATAATTTTGGAGTCAGTGGAATATGTATGAATATGTACACACTGTCATCTCATTAATTTACCTGACGTAAGAAACAAGAAGTTTTAGTGGATGGAGTTTACTTTCTTACCAACTATGTTAGTGGTAGTAAAATGTTGCTGTTCTTGTCCTTTCCTATTTTCGCTTATTATCCCCATTATAATATTCATTATAAAATCATCCAAAATTATCGAATTAATTGAATTTTCTGATGATTTGATTGCAAGAGTGCAAGGAGCATTGTGTTTTGCTGTAGACTAGAGATCAACAAAAAAGAAGAAATGGGTTGGAAGCAACGACACAAGATTTTACAAAACAAGAAAAATTCATGTGATCGAAAAACATATCCTCTCTTATAGTTTTTTGTCAACCCCTCTCCTTGTTTTTCAACACTGGCAGGAACACCCACCGAAAGATTGATATATGTAGTCGGTACCAAACTTTTTTCCACCTTTCTTAACGTCTATTTTATTTCTTTCCCTTTTAGGAAAAAATCTCAAACCTCAGAGATTGGATGTTGTGTATTCATTAAAGTGTTATAGCTGTACGTATCGTATGTGGGTCAAATCACACGTCATTTAAACATCGGATTTTCGTAGCATATGAGAATATATCCATTTGAAGGTAACCAAACGTCACGCCTAGCGTTATCGAGCATTTTTGCTAACATAAACATGTCTGGAGATACCTACAACATGGATGACTTTGAAAGAATTTCCTCTTTTCACGATTCATACAAACTCTCCCTTAATGAGAACCTCATAGTCAATAGCTACAAGTCTTCACTTATCGACAGTATAGTAAAAATACAGTAGAGCAAGTCCATTGAATTTTTTGTGCTACGTATATCTCATTGCGCGTATGATTACTACATTGGAAGCTAGTAAATTGACTTTTTGAGCATAGTCTGATATAAATATGTCAGCAAATGTTTCTACATCCCATGTTCTATTCAACACCTTATTTTGCTTCCTAACTTTAATTTATATAATCTATTTGACACCGTCTCATTTTGTATTCTAACACTTTATGTAAATATGATTATTTCTCATAACATCCTATTAAGCATGCAATGCTACCCAACCTTCCGATTTGCTAAATACGGCCCTATAATACAGCGGATGTTGAGTTTTATTTTATGTTTTTCTACGTGTTTCTGTGCACCTGTTCACTTCAGAATTGTTTTATTATTGATGAGGAATATTTACTCTAAACGTCCCTAATGAATATTTTGATGAGAAAATATGTCAGTAAACGTCCCTGTGATAGCAAGAGGCCACCATGTTATTACATAGTTAAATGTTGTTAATGACTTAATGTTGACAATGACCATATACAGTCTCTCAGATCTATAACAATTCAAACCAGCGGTTCATAACAGGTAATTTTACAAACAAATCTAAACAAATTTCGAAAAACAAACAGCAAAAAATTTGAAAACAAAAAGAAAACAGGAGAGAATGCCAACTTTTACAAAACAGCGAGGACAAAAAAGTAAAGAAAGGCTTCGTTTCAGTTTAAATAATACTTTATAATAAACCTTTTATTAACTTGTTTATTCGCTCTTCGAGCCTGCGAGGTCTGCACATAAAGAATTAAATGATCCGAATTTCTCTTTAAAGAATTCGCGATTGCTTAGTAAGGGACTTATTATACAACTAACTTTAATACGGTTTTTCGAAATTTATGTGTTTCTACATGCTTTTCCTTCCACCTGTTCACATCAAAACGTAGGCTTAACAACAACACTTTACAGCTAATTAACATAGCTAAGTTACGAAGAAAATTGTGAAAATTGCCTAAATTGAAATGATCCTTGCTTGTTGTAGTAGACTTTGATAATATCCAACAGAGTGGCTGTCCAATGCATCAACTAGAAGTTTGTTTTTTACCAAATTAAAATTAATATTGAAATGTTAAATTGTTGTTCTTAATTCTTTACCGCTGAACCCAATCACTTAAACCATTTTTCATTCATAAGTCATTATTCTTTGATGCATTATTTTTTTGCCATTTCTCATTGTATTTGTGCTGCTGTCGTCTTGTGAACAAAGAGTTGTAAGAAATAAAAAAAGCTGGTTTCATGTTGTAAATTTTACTGTATAGTTCGGTTCGACATAAATTGGTGTATTTGCGGTTACAATTTTTTACCAATGAATGTTAGCAAAAATTAAATTTAGTGTTAACAAAGTTAATATTTAAGAACTTAAAATACGCAATGGGAACAATATCATTTTTTGTCATTTAGCACTTGAAGTCATTAACCTGTTTTGCCGTGTTCACCCAGTTTAGATGCATTAATTTTGCTTCGGCGCTTTGTCTAAACAGAGGTAAAATATCAAAAACTTATCTTCTATAACATTGCTTCGTCAACCAATGTATGTATCTTAATTTTTCTTTGCTTCCAAATTTTCTAACACATTTAAAGTATTATTGTTGATTCGTAAAGGGTAGGATTTGAGGCAAAACAAAATTCAATAAAATGATAAATAATTGTGGCAGTCGGCATAAGTGCATGTTTATATATTCTCAATACACGCTACTGCACATTGGAGGAAACAGCTTTGGCCAGCACTTACAAGTAAAACTTTGCGAAAACCGCAACTCTATTGTTTACCATACTTGTACGAATATTCACTTTCTCTGTTTGTTTAAGGCGTATTTCTGCAGTTGCCTTTTTGTGTGCGTTTTTCAAACAAAGACGTAAAGACAATAAAAGAACAAAAGGTAAGATGTAATAAATTACGTTGGCTACAGTTGATGGTAAAACGAATGTTTGTTTATCCTCGTTGCTTTGTTAGCATTTAATATAGAGCAATTTTTTCTTTGACCGAGTTTTGCAGTTTACATGATGCCGGCCTTCCCTCGAAGTATTGTGGTTTCAAAGGCTAAAGACATCAACTATTAAACGTTTTCATAGATCAGAATTGAGTCAATTTTTTTCATAATTCCGTGGAAATTGTATGCAATCCAGGAATAGGCGTATTGTTTCATTGTTGATGAGGATATTTAGTCTAAACGTCCCTATTGATTATACTGACGAGGAATATTTAGTCTAAACGTCCCTAATGAATATTTTGATGAGGAAATATGTCAGTAAACGTCCCTGTGATAGCAAGAGGCCACCATGTTATTACATAGTTAAATGTTGTTAATGACTTAATGTTGACAATGACCATATACAGTCTCTCAGATCTATAACAATTCAAACCAGCGGTTCATAACAGGTAATTTTACAAACAAATCTAAACAAATTTCGAAAAACAAACAGCAAAAAATTTGAAAACAAAAAGAAAACAGGAGAGAATGCCAACTTTTACAAAACAGCGAGGACAAAAAAGTAAAGAAAGGCTTCGTTTCAGTTTAAATAATACTTTATAATAAACCTTTTATTAACTTGTTTATTCGCTCTTCGAGCCTGCGAGGTCTGCACATAAAGAATTAAATGATCCGAATTTCTCTTTAAAGAATTCGCGATTGCTTAGTAAGGGACTTATTATACAACTAACTTTAATACGGTTTTTCGAAATTTATGTGTTTCTACATGCTTTTCCTTCCACCTGTTCACATCAAAACGTAGGCTTAACAACAACACTTTACAGCTAATTAACATAGCTAAGTTACGAAGAAAACTGTGAAAATTGCCTAAATTGAAATGATCCTTGCTTGTTGTAGTAGACTTTGATAATATCCAACAGAGTGGCTGTCCAATGCATCAACTAGAAGTTTGTTTTTTTACCAAATTAAAATTAATATTGAAATGCTAAATTTTTGTTCTTAATTCTTTACCGCTGAACCCAATCACTTAAACCATTTTTCATTCATAAGTCATTATTCTTTGATGCATTATTTTTTTGCCATTTCTCATTGTATTTGTGCTGCTGTCGTCTTGTGAACAAAGAGTTGTAAGAAATAAAAAAAGCTGGTTTCATGTTGTAAATTTTACTGTATAGTTCGGTTCGACATAACTTGGTGTATTTGCGGTTACAATTTTTTACCAATGAATGTTAGCAAAAATTAAATTTAGTGTTAACAAAGTTAATATTTAAGAACTTAAAATACGCAATGGGAACAATATCATTTTTTGTCATTTAGCACTTGAAGTCATTAACCTGTTTTGCCGTGTTCACCCAGTTTAGATGCATTAATTTTGCTTCGGCGCTTTGTCTAAACAGAGGTAAAATATCAAAAACTTATCTTCTATAACATTGCTTCGTCAACCAATGTATGTATCTTAATTTTTCTTTGCTTCCAAATTTTCTAACACATTTAAAGTATTATTGTTGATTCGTAAAGGGTAGGATTTGAGGCAAAACAAAATTCAATAAAATGATAAATAATTGTGGCAGTCGGCATAAGTGCATGTTTATATATTCTCAATACACGCTACTCCACACTGGAGGAAACAGCTTTGGCCAGCACTTACAAGTAAAACTTTGCGAAAACCACAACTCTATTGTTTACCATACTTGTACGAATATTCACTTTCTCTGTTTGTTTAAGGCGTATTTCTGCAGTTGCCTTTTTGTGTGCGTTTTTCAAACAAAGACGTAAAGACAATAAAAGAACAAAATGTAAGATGTAATAAATTTCGTTGGCTACAGTTTATGGTAAAACGAATGTTTGTTTATCCTCGTTGCTTTGTTAGCATTTAATATAGAGCAATTTTTTCTTTGACTGAGTTAAGCAGCTTACATGATGCCGGCCTTCCCTCGAAGTATTGTGGTTTCAAAGGCTAAAGACATCAACTATTAAACGTTTTCATAGATCAGAATTGAGTCAATTTTTTTCATAATTCCGTGGAAATTGTATGCAATCTAGGAATAGGCGTATTATTTCATTGTTGATGAGGATATTTAGTCTAAACGTCCCTATTGATTGTACTGACGAGGAATATTTACGTCTAAACGTTCCTATTGATTGTACTGACGAGGAATATTTAGTCTAAACGTCTCTAATGAATACTTTGATGAGAAAATACGTCAGTAAACGTCCCTGTGATAGCAAGAGGCCACCATGTTATTACATAGTTAAATGTTGTTAATGACTTAATGTTGACAATGACCATATACAGTCTCTCAGATCTATAACAATTCAAACCAGCGGTTCATAACAGGTAATTTTACAAACAAATCTAAACAAATTTCGAAAAACAAACAGCAAAAAATTTGAAAACAAAAAGAAAACAGGAGAGAATGCCAACTTTTACAAAACAGCGAGGACAAAAAAGTAAAGAAAGGCTTCGTTTCAGTTTAAATAATACTTTATAATAAACCTTTTATTAACTTGTTTATTCTCTCTTCGAGCCTACGAGGTCTGCACATAAAGAATTAAATGATCCGAATTTCTCTTTAAAGAATTCGCGATTGCTTAGTAAGGGACTTATTATACAACTAACTTTAATACGGTTTTTCGAAATTTATGTGTTTCTACATGCTTTTCCTTCCACCTGTTCACATCAAAACGTAGGCTTAACAACAACACTTTACAGCTAATTAACATAGCTAAGTTACGAAGAAAATTGTGAAAATTGCCTAAATTGAAATGATCCTTGCTTGTTGTAGTAGACTTTGATAATATCCAACAGAGTGGCTGTCCAATGCATCAACTAGAAGTTTGTTTTTTACCAAATTAAAATTAATATTGAAATGTTAAATTGTTGTTCTTAATTCTTTACCGCTGAACCCAATCACCTAAACCATTTTTCATTCATAAGTCATTATTCTTGAAGCGATGTTTTTCTTGTCATTTCTCACTGTATTTTCGCTGCTGTCGTATTGTGTGTATTGTTTAAACAAACACCTGTAGGCAATAAAGTTACAGCTGGCATTACGATGTAAATTTTACTGTATAGTTCGGTCCGACACAATTTGTTGTATTTAGGGCCTAAAATTTTGCTAATGACTGTCAGCAAAATTGAATTTACTGTTGGTAAAGTTGATAGTCAAAAACTTAAAATACTTTTTATATTGTAACAATATAACTTTTCGTCATTGAGCACTTGAAGTCATTAACCTGCTTTGCCGTGTTTGCCCACATTAGATGCATTATTTGTGTTTCTTTGCTTCGTAGCTATAAACAGAGGTAATTCTCTAAAATGTCAAAAACTCTATGTTCTATAACATTGCTTTGTCAACCAACAACAACATCCAAATTTCCAAACATTTAAAGTATTATTGTTGATTCGTAAATTCTTAATTCTTTACCGCTGAACCCAATCACTTAAACCATTTTTCATTCATAAGTCATTATTCTTGAAGCGATGTTTTTCTTGTCATTTCTCACTGTATTTTCGCTGCTGTCGTATTATGTCTATATTTTAAACAAACACCTGTAGGCAATAAAGTTACAGCTGGTATTACAATGTAAATTTTACTGTATAGTTCGGTCCGACACAATTTGTTGTATTTAGGGCCTAAAATTTTGCTAATGGCTGTCAGCAAAATTGAATTTACTGTTGGTAAAGTTGATAGTCAAAAACTTAAAATACGTTTTATATTGGAACAATATAATTTTTCGTCATTGAGCACTTGAAGTCATTAACCTGCTTTGCCGTGTTTGCCCACATTAGATGCATTATTGTGTTTCGTTGCTTCGTAGCTATAAACAGAGGTAATTCTCTAAAATGTCAAAAACTCTATGTTCTATAACATTGCTTTGTCAACCAACCACAGCATCCAAATTTCCAAACATTTAAAGTATTATTGTTGATTCGTAAAGGATAGGATTTGACGCAAAACAAATTCTATAAAATGTTGAATAACTGGGGCAGATGGCATGAGTGTTTGTATATACTCAATATGGCACTGTACATTTGAGGAAGCCGATGGCCTTGGCCAGCAGTTGCAAGTAAAACGTTGCGAAAGCCACAACTCTGTTGTTCGTCTGACTTGTATGTATCTTAAATTTTCTCTGTTTGTTTAAGGTGTATATCTGCAGTCGCCTTATTGTGTCCGTTTTTCAATTAATAAAAAAACAAAGGTAAGATGTGATGTAGTTGATAGTAAAACGGAAGTTTCCTTATCTTATATTATTTAATACTGCAAATTTTTTCTTCGACTGAGTTTGGCAAATAAGTGTTAATACAAACACCACACAACTTACGCCCCCAAATGATTTGATTCTTATAGTAAATGGAGAGATTTTTTCATTTGCCACAATACCTCCACGCTAGATGTAGGATTTGGGACAGGTTATCACATTAATGTTTTCATTCATATATTTATATACTATCATATTTTTTGCTCAAATCTCTCAACTACCTCAAAAGCAAGTCCTATTCCACTGTTTTGTAAAAAATTTTGTTCTTTAGCGGAACCTGCGAAAAATTAAAAGAAATCCCTTAAGATTTTCAATTCTTATGGAGTATTCATTGTCATCAAGTACTCCACAAATAACTGCAAGCAAAGGAATAAGCTTGAAAAAATGTAAAAAGTTGCACAACATTTCTACGATTTTCTGTGATATTTCTGTAAATTTTTATAAAAGAATTTGAGCAATCTCAAGATAACGCTGAAACCCAAAACTACTTAGCTGCCCTTAATATCGACGTTCGTTTATTTCGTAAGCTCTTCCCTCCTCAATAGAAAAAAAGCTCCGCAGTGCATGTAATGTAAATATCTAACACCCTTTCAACATTATTTTTTGGTCATTGTCTTTTGAAATTTTTAATTTATTTAGTTAATTTTTCAACTGTAACTTTTTGACATTGTCAACTGAGCAATTTAGCTGTTTTATACCTGCTAATGTTTTGAATTCGATGAATTAAAAATTCGAATGAAAATCCAATACGGGTATGGCATTAGAGACAATACGGGTATAACTATATAGCTATAGAGGCTGCTTTACAAGAAATTGTAAAGTACTTTATGATTTCATAGGTTTTTTACATGTATCATGGCATAACAGTAAATTGAAATGAAATAGCTAATGGGAAGCTCTGCATGCACAATTGTTATTTTCATATTCAGATAAAGAATTTTAACATCGTCTTGGGTTTTTACTCTATTGTATCTAAAATAAATGATTTGCTTTGATTTTAATTTGATCTCGCTCTCTTCACTTCCTTAGCGCTATCCACTAAAAACCATTTTTTCATCGTTCAATAAATCTCTTGAAACACAAGAAGTTGAAATTCAGACTGAACCGAGTAAAAAGAATAAAGCATAAATTTAAAGATAACCAAGTTTCATTATTTTAAGAAAATTATAACCACGTACCTATATAATAGCTACAGTGGCTACCAATAAGAGAGCCATCATGCAGCCATATGAGACTAACTCGATCTATTTCTGAACAGTTTTTCTCGCTGCACAATTTTGCTGAAATGACTTTTTTAGATAATGCTCATATATTGCTCAAAAATACGTTTTGATCGTGATCTGCTTGCATCACAGATGTAATTGTGACGTAGTCATTGTCGATCTAAATATAAATTTAAAGTCTTCTGTGATAACGTACATACATCCAACAATCAATTATAATTTAGAGCTTTACTGTATATCCTTGGATCTATGCAATGATGAGTTTAATGATATGGTGGTTATTGTGGCTGTTATTTGGTCAAGGGTTCACAATGAAAATGGGTTGGAATGAAGAACTTGAGTTTTGTGAGGAAGAATGGAAGAAATTTGTGGCGGACAAAATAGAAATCGATTCGAAATGCAACAATATTCGTACACGTTGTTGTGTTGAGGAGAAGAAATATCTTTTGGAGCGATTTAAAATGTTTAGTGAAATATGTCCTCTTGAAGGTAAAGTAAACAACAGTTTAATTTACAGTAAGTACAGAACATCAACTGGAAATGTACTTCGCAAACAATCAGAACACTTATATTACTGAGGTACTGTTTAATTTAAACCGTGTTCTTAGAAAGTGCAATAAAGTAAGGTACCTAAAGTAAATGGTTTGAACCCGTATGGTACATGTTAAAGTACTCAACTGATTTGCATACACTAGCTTCACAGCATTGACGCAGAATAATATCTCGTTCATTGTTCCTCTGTCTAGTTACAAAAGCAAAGTAATATGACAGTAGAGTCAAAAATAGTAATATATGCAGTTATATGATATAGTCTGTATAGTTATTGTCTATTTGGGTTTAACAAAGACTTTCGATTCAATGTGAATAGTTTGTAACATTTTGTGGCCAAATGAGTGTCACTTTCTACTTGTTCTTTTTCTCTGGACAACCAGTTAAAGATAACTTAATTTTTTGTTAGGGACATGTGGATGCAGCCAGATTATTTTGAACATTACTGAGGTGTTACCCTTCCGTCTTTTACGAAAAGCATTATACGAAAAATTGAAAGAAGCAAAAAACTTCACGTGTTCACATAAGTATATAAATGAAAAAGTAGAGTATGGAAATCGTATACGTTATACTAGCTTTGGAATCCGACAATACAAATTCCCTTCCAAGTATGTTTTATACGGTGGAAAAAGTCACACCTGTTATGTTGTCATGAACGTGAACCTAAAACGACAAGGTACGTGCAAGGGCAGTTCATTTTAGTTTTTCCTGTGTCAGTTTAATTTATAGTACACCAATGTGATTATAGTGCTTCATATTCAACTTTGCTCAAATCCATACGGCACTTTGACCTATATTCAATTCATCATGTACGTATACTCTTCAGTCAATTTCTTTGCAGTTGCAAAGCTAATATAATACACCCCGGAACAGCCAAGCATGTTTAATTCGTCATACATATATTATAATGTCTGTAAAGAGTAAAAGCTCAATTCAAGAGCGTGTCGGTTTTCGGTTTTATTGATTTTATTCATTAACGATCACGTTGGAAGATTTGGTTGTTTGTTAAGTGAGCCAGTGATGCAATCTCGTTGATTTCATTTAAATAATTGTCAATACACTATCACCATTGAAAATTACCCACGAATTCTTTATGTGACGTTTTGGGAATCATAGACATCGTGTTTTATTCTGCTCAAATTATCGGGAATATAGACGAAAAACACCAGAGAGTTTTCGTCGCGTATTTACAGGAAATAGACGAAAAACGAACCGCAAAAATTTTTCAATCAGACTGCAGTCAGCGCTATCCCCCTCAGATTTGCTTCGGTAGATATCCAATTGACCTCGGTCTGAATATTCTTTTATATCATGCTCGACTTAATCCAAAAATTGTTAAATATTTTTAACGGGAGAATGTTCTTATATCACTTCAGCAGAAATAAATTTCGTTGTATATTAACCCTCTGTATAATATCCATGTACATATTTGTATGCATCTCTCCTCTGCATGTATAAACCTTTATAAACCCTTAAAAAAGCCTTGCGATTTTGTATAAGCCCTGGCATGATATTTATTTAAATTGTTTGGAATTTTATTATCAAGAGCACTATTTCACAGCACAACTTAAATGAACTCCACCAGAAAGAGTGTACAGCTTACAGAGTTCACAATTTAGTTTTACATTGAATTATATATTCCTTCTCTTCAAGTTTGAATAATACTAACCTAAATCATCAACTTTTTCTGGGCACAAATTTGTATAAGTGTTTAGATAAACTTCCTTTTCATCAAAAACGAAAGTCATGGGAGTTTATACAGATTAAAAATCAGGTTCAGCAAACAATCTTAAAATATTTCAAATATTTCAATTGCGTAAACAAACCATAACTCTCCCTTTTCCATCGTAACAGACCGTGCGCCGTGAAATTTTTATTAACTGATTTTTTACACTTTTCAACTTGTTTGTGAAATTTTTCAGTCTCCATGCCATTGAACTAAAATACATGGAACGCTACATCGGTGAAGGCTATTTCAGATATGGTAGAGCACCTTGTGCCCAGGCCCTTTAGCTTTAACTTGTCTACTTAAAGCTATTAATAATTAATTTTCAGCATATTTACATATTACATCGCGCTTACTCTTTCGCAACATGGAAGATTATACTTTATCTGATTTACATTTCCAAAATTGACAATATTGTCAACGAAGAAAATCCTTTTTTCGGTTATGTAAGTTCTTTGGAAAAAGCGCTTGAGCTCGTGAGGGATTTTGAAAACGCGACCACGACAAAATTCACAGTCTTCACGAAAATAAAGAGCTTTGGAGCCACCGGTAAAATGCGTTTTGAGCGCGAATATTTGAAATACTCTACCGTGATGATGCAATCATCACACATTATTAAGTATTTATTTTAGTAGAATGTCGAATACATTTGTTGAACCAAGTATAAATCAATAAAATCAGTAGGTTTAAAATGTAATGTTTATCTGCAGCTAAGTATTTACGGAAGTTGTTAGGATTCATCTTGTGCATTTCCTGCTGTATAATATCAATATAATAATCGTACATGGTCATGGCCTGTTTTAATTTATTAAAAGTGCACCTTGTTAACGAAATTAAAATCTCCTCATCTTCACGTAACATATTATATTGCTTCGCTGTATGTTAACATAATCTATGAAAACTACTGTTACAATGGTTTTTGTGCGTTAGACCAAAATGACCTAAAACCACACCGTATTTGGTGGGAATCTAAATCCGGTACTGAAAAGCCCATCCCTTTGATGGAGTACCGTTCTATTTGGTTGGAACGAATGTCTTGGAATGCCAACACGGTGTAGACAGAAACGTTTATCAGAAAAAAACATGAATCAAATCCTGGTAATTATTCTAGATGACACCACTACTCTTCATAAATTCTTTAGGTAATGAAAGTAAATTGGACTTAAAATTAAAGTTTTACTCATATTACAGGGCGACCGTGGAGATCATACTATAAAACAGAGACGTTTCTGGAAGCAAGATAGTAAAAAACTTGATTGCACAGCCATCATACAAATGAAAGAAGTAATAAAGTTTCCAGAATACAAGGTATATTACTAATAAAAAAGAAAATTGCTTATACTGTGGCTTTATTTTTGTTCATAGTAAATCGACAAGTATACACATGTTAAATTGGTTTTTTTCTAAAAGATTAGAGTGCAATATTTTTAGGTGCCACATGACGCTAAAAAGAAGAAACGTGACACGACCTCTGCTGATTTGCGAGCCCATTTAATAAACCCCAGCTCCTCAGTAAAAACTGAACGCAGAATCTATATTTCATTTCCGCGGCCAGAAGATCACACCACGCACAGACTTGGAATGGTATATGCTCTTGTTTGACATGCTCGTCTTGCAATCTGTAGATAAGAACATCACAATCATTTGTGGCATCTGCATGATAAAATTCATGACACTAACTAGTTGTGCCTTTTGCTATTTCAGCACAGCGGAATGACACAACGACTAGATGAAAAGGTTATTAGAAAGATAGAAGAACTTGTCAGTGAAGGAGTGCGAACTGTTCATGAGATGAAACGTCATTTGAAAATATACATAAAGGATGAGCTTTTCGAGGAAAGAACAACCTCTGCGTGACAATCGACGATACTTTCCCAGAGCTAAAACAATAAAAATCACATGTACAACGCGGCAATGAGAGCCAGGCTTTCATTTATGGACCAAGACAACGTCACTCGACTGGTTGAAAATGGAAATGCGAAAAGGCTTCGAGCAACGATAGATTTTATTTCCGTCCATACGTTGAAGGAAGCGGTGAATTCAAAAATACAGACTTACAAAATGAAGAAGACAGCGATGACGACATAAGTTTAAATGAAGAGGTTATGACGACTGCAAAGGAGCAAAAAGGGCGACTTTTGTTTATACACCAAACGGCTTGGCAATCAAGGTTACTTTGTCGTTATGGTCAGGAACTAGCTTTCCTAGATGCCACATACAAAACCACAAAGTATTCCTTGCCATTATTTTTTGTTGCTGTGAAGACTAATGTTGATTATGCTATCGTTTCATCCTTTGTAATACAAGATGAAACAACAGCTAGTATAACAGAAGCTCTCAGTATTTTACATCAATGGAATCCACGATGGAACCCACAGCATATGATGACCGATCTTTGTGAAGAAGAAATAAAATCAATTGAGTTTGTTTTTCCAGGTATGAGGCACGAGCTGCAAGAGGTTTTGACCAAAACATCTGGCATTCTTTATTGCACTAAATCAACCATGTAACACCTAAATAATAAAAGCAATGAACAGCAATTCACAAGTTATATTTCTTCCATCGCTAATCAAATATAATAATAATATTAGAAAACTTTGGACATGGGAAGGGAAGAAAGGGTTGATCAATTTCTACATGCAGATTATTTTATTTTACGATATATATGTAATCGTGTTGACAAAGTTAAACATCCTTTTAAAAAGTTCTATATACCATGGCTACGTAGCTCTGCAATTCATCATGGAGTGTAACATGTGGGTATATTTTCAGACTGCAAAGTGCTGCTTTGCGATTTTCATCGAGAGCAAGCATGGGAACGTTGGACATCTAAAAAAGATAATGGAATCGCAGACAACCGTGAATTTATATTGGCTTTGATGAGACAATTGGCACGGGCAAGAACTGAGGATGCATACGAAAATGCCCTGCAAAAAGTTAAAGACACTAGCGAGTGGAAGACCAATAACAGCTTTAAAAGGTGGCTGGAAAACACGTGGATAAGACACAAAAGGTAAAAAGAATACAGACTTAGCAATTGCACGGCCGCAAAATGTACTGCACAAATAACTACCACAAGCGTTTACACGAAAAGTGGAAAAGTACGTTTCATTGTACTTTCCTTCTTCGTCAGGTCAATACAAGTAAAACCTACAACCATTTTTATACTTTATTGATATTTAACTTTTACAGAGATGGGTATGGGCATTCAGAAAAGAGCGTCTGCTTGTTTATGTTAGCACAAACAATGGGTTGGAAAGACAAAATGGGGCTTTCAAACACCAGTATTTACTGACTTTACGAAAGTATTCTCTCAGCGCAATGTTAACAATTCTTGTAAATGAATTTCTTCCTGACAAATACGAAAGGTAAGTCTGGCATTCAATTAATAGATGATCTAAAGCGACACAGTTTTTCTTTCTGAATGAGAGGCAGATCCTGGCTAGCTTACGTATATTATTTATATTAATGCCGAGAGTAAACCGTAAAGTGAAGTTGCATGAATCTCATGCATACTGGTTTTAAAACCAAAATTTTTTGTATTAAATTTTGTGTGCTTGCACCAAAAAGTTGTATATTATATTTTTTTATTTCAGCTACATCAACGAAAATACAAAATGCTCCACAGCATATAAGCGTTATAACAAACAGATTCCAGAATTTCTGCATAATCGTCCTAACTACCTTATCGACCATTGCATGAAACGTCTTGTTTATGCTGAAGATGTACGTTCAATCGCTTTGGTGGATGACTCTATGGGTGCATTTTTAGTAACCAGTGAAATGGGAAAGCACAACTATCATGTATATTTTAGGGCACCTCATGACACAGAAATACCTTGCTGCGAGTGTCTTGACTGGCAACGAAACTATTTACCATGCAAGCACTTATTAGCGATTATTCAAAATAAAAAATTTACAAGTTGGGGATGGAAAAACCTACCAACAGCATATAAAGATTCTCCATTTCTGACCTTAGATGTCGATATATTGTTCAAACCAATTGATCATATTTTGAAAAGAGTTGACGATGCTCAGCAAGTTTGTGGTGCAGAAAGTTTTCATGACCAAGAAAAGAAACAGAAGAAGCTGACATAAAACAAACTATGACAGCTGTTCTACCTAAACCAGTGTTCCCAAAACGGACAGCTATTACTAGGTGTTGTGATCTGTTATCTAGAATAAAGAGTTTGGTCCACGAGTGTACTAATTCAACTTCACTAGCCAGCCTGGAAAAGAGTCTTCAGTCTGCACTTCAGGAATTTGAGAATAACAGCAATACTGATTCAGGACTAGCACTTACAGCTCCTGACGCCGGGAAAACGTCAATGAAACGTAAAAAAAGAACATCAAATATCAGCAAGTCAACAACCAGCAATCCTAAAAGAAAGCCAGATTATCTAATCTACCATCTGCAAAATTAAAGAAGATACACCCATACAATAGAAGAGTTGGCCAACATGCTGCAATGATGAGAAAATTCTATAATAAAGACTTATCTCTAGAGAAAATGGAAACGCAATCATCCAGCAAAGATACACAAACAATTCCTTTCATGCCAACTCCTCACACAGGTTTCACACCTCTCATTACAGAATCTTCATCAATCACCGCAAAACTATTAAGGAATGGACCACATTCTGTATCTCTGCTAGAAATTAAATCATTAGAGCCATTTTGCACAGAGAAACACAGATTTTACTTAGTAGCATGAGTGAAAACCTTTCATACCTGGCTGGTTGTATGATGAAGTAATCAATTCATTTTTCTGGTGTCTACAGGAAGATCATGAACATGTTCTTTATGCAGCATCCACATCAATGCTTTCCTTGCAAAATGGTGGTCAGGGAGGAAGACTTTGGTCTGAAAAGAGCAATGAAAAAAATCTCATTATAGCACCTTGGAACCCAACTCACTGTCACTGGACATTGATTGCCATAGATCTGCAACAGAGAAATATTTTTATGTTGATCCATTGAATGCAGCTGATGATATTAAAACAAGGCACAGATGCAGATTATAGCAAAATTCATCCCTTTAATTATTGAAAACAAATTTGGTCTGTCAGAATTTCAGATCTCCTCACCGCCATACTCTTCAACAAGATACTTCAAGTTGTGGTGTTTTTGTTTGCTGGTATGCATCACAGTTTGTGCAAGGAAAGTCAATGAGTGATGGCTGTGATCCATATAAGATGAGGGTTAGAATTTACAACAAAATAAGAGGAACTTGTCTAAAACAACACTCACAACAGCCAGAACTTTCCAAATGCCCACTATGTGGAGCACCTGTTTTTGAAGAAAACTTAAAATGTATACGGTGCTGTCAATCCTACCACATATTATGTATTGACTCTGAAAATCATCCTACAACAAGGAATCCTCACTTTTATTGCCCACCATAAACTGAAAGGACTCTTCCTAAAATAAATGACAGGTGATTGGAAATGGAGAAAACATGCAAATAGAGAGTAAAATTATATGCCCCAAGCTGCCCTCATGTCAATTTTGATGTTTTGACACAAAATTACTAATAGGGTAATGATTGTCTAGGTAAAGTTAACACACAACAACCATTCCCATAAAACAGTCTAAAGGATGGGCATGTGTAAATACATCCACCAAAACCAATCATCACCCATTGCCTATGTAATTAGTAATACTAGTTTGTGTATCATATACATATGTATAGCATACTCCAAGTAATATGGCGATTGCTTCAACACCTAAACCAATGTATAGCCTATATAATAACAAACTTAGCTTGTGCTTTACACGTTTCCAGTGCAGTATTTGTTGTCTTATATTTTAACTGTGTTGCATTTGCCCTGTAATTACTTCTTGTGTAATGATTTGGGCGAAAATATCATCATCAAGAATGTTTGAATTTAATACTAACATAACACAATTGAAAATTGAGTATTTACTACCATTTATCGTTGATAGAAATGTGCTAAAAACCGTCGCTGCAATAATTCGCACAGTGCAAGTACAGCACTACAAATTACAAAATATCGGTAAATAAATTAAAAGTATACAATACTTGCTCACCTAGTCACCTTAGTCATCTTTATCTTTGAAATGATGTTTGAATAAAACCCGCTATTATTTAAGATATTTCACTATCCCACTATCTTCTGTAAAGCCATATAAAGTATAAAACGCCATGGCAAGTTGCAAGCACGTAAGAAATAGGAATGTTATCATGATAAGGAGGAGAATATCATTTACTCACGTGCGTGTCAGAAAAGAAGGGCCTGGGCACAAGGTGCTCTACCATATCTGAAATAGCCTTCACCCGCTACATCAAGCATATAATTGAACCCATTGAACTAAATATAACTGGAAGGCTACCTTCTGATATATCGGTAACACACGAAATGAAGCCAAATTTTGCGTGATCTGACCTCCAGACACGCGTTTCTGTAGTCAAATCACGCGAGTTCGGCCTCGCGATGCGTGATTGGAAGGAGGAGTAAAGAGTCTGAACGAATAAACTACATGTTTTGGCCAAGCTTTAGAAAGGAAAATTACTGAATTTATTTAGTTTTGCTGCGTTTTCTTTTGATATTAATACAGGAAATTTAAGTTTCTTGCCGACCAAATAATTTTTTACCCAGAAGGCTTACCGATGGCAAAGGATTGTGCTCGGATATTGGCGAAAACTTTCAAATGTAAAAATCCCAATGGGTAAGTGTTTATTCATTGTATTCATAAAGTGTTTACACATTAAATTTATTCATTATTAAACAAGATTAGCTTATTGAGTCGGTGCCTGTCGCTTGTTTTGCCTTTATTTACAATCTCCCTCGTATATTTTTTACCGTAGTTGAAAAGACGCAGTGTGAAATATTTGTCTGCGATATGCTTTGTCAGTTGAGTGCTGTGATCGTCTTCGATAACAGCCTCGTTAACACCATCTTCGTGATCTCTGAATAGAGGAAAGGTCGATTCCAGATTAAAATGTTGGCAAACTGCAATAATCATACTGTTCTTCAACTTTGCCCTGTTACTAATATGCTGATTGTCGTTGCCTGTCACCGTTGCTTTGAAAACGTGTTCGCAGAACTCTATACAACGATACACCGCTGTGGATGGAATCTGTAAACCACCGTTGTTCACGAAGTTGACGAAAGCTGACGCTTTTCCAGCTTCATGATATTTTCGGGAATTAAGGATGTCAAAAAGTCGGTCGATAATGCGAATAAATGTCACTGTCCCATTACTGCCAGAGAAATTTGGTTGTTTAGCGGATTTGTCTAAAAACTCAATAGCATTTGCCACAGAGGAGCTCAATGTTTGTGCAGCAAGTCGCACATTCATTTTGTGTTTGTGAAAGTTAAGGTGATTACTCGTAAGTTTGTTTGTTAGGTTTAATCCTTCTTCCATTTGTAGGTTTTGAAGTTTCTATGTAACTCCACTTTATAATGTTTTCCTTGCCATCCTTAAAAGAACCAAGTTGGGCCAGTGCATTTGCAAGCTTTAACATATGGCAAGGGTCAAGAATTACAAACACATCTTCGCCAGTAGTTGGATGGGTAAATGAAGACCGCATTTCATCATATGTACCGTTAAAGTTGCAACCAAGACTTTCAAATGTATGAAGATTTACAGCAGTACCATCAGCTGTTACAGACCATACCTTTAAACCTGCCTTTGATGCCTTTTCAAGACATTGTATTACCAATGATGCTTGGTCTTTACCATTGATTTTGTCAACCAAAAGTACCCAACGGGTATTTCCAATGACTTCTGGTGCCAACTAATAAAAATACTAGTGCCTCAGAAGCCAATTTCTCTGTTTTATGATTAGGGAGTGTATCTCCAAGATTAACAAACCCTGAATACTGGTCATCTTCTGATTCCATATTGTTTGTTTTCAGATTGACATTGCATCAATAACCAAACAGCAGTCTCTGGAATTTGGGAAGCAGCAACTTCATTTGATAGTGATTGGAATGCATCTTTAATGAAACCAGGGTCACATTTCATGGACGAGACCATTTTTCATCAAAGATGGATTGGGTAGTGGAACAATGGATCAAAACATATTTATAAGCTTTTGGAGAATAAAAATATAAAGTAAGTGCAAATTCTTTGATTTCATCAGAGTATCTTCTGCCTGAACGAGGACATTTTAAATTATCTCTAATATTGTATAAAAATCCCAACTGAGTATCATTGAAAGTGGACAAAAGACTTTCTGCCTCTTTTGAATTGATCATCAACTTATCTTTTAAAATCTTGACAACTTCACCCATGGTTTCAACCTTTTGTTTTGTGCGCCTCAGTTGTTGTTGCAAGTTTCAATTTTTGTTGAAGCTTATTTTTAAACAAATCTTTTTTCTTCTGTAGATGTTTTGGAGATTTTTTGGGTGGAGAAGTTTCATCAACGGAATCAGAGGTAGCTGCAAAAGGTCTTTTATTTGAAAGCTCGAGTCTATTCAGCAGTGCGCTTTGAGTGGGTTGTAGAAGTTGAAACATTTTGAACATGCAAGCTATTGGACATGGATGGTATGGCATACTTTTTAGTCGGCATTTGCCATTTTGTGAGGGGGACAATGTAGTCAGTTAGTTGAAAATGGTCACTGCATATATGATGTGCACTTTTGCTGTCCATGGTACTTCAAGATGGTTTACTTGTTGAACAAAATGCTCCCATAATTTTATGGCTGCCTTGTTTTCATGGGAAATCTGTAATACATATAAATATTCATGATCTAGTATTTTAAATATTATACTTCCAGTAATTTCACTACAAATCCTTGTCCAGTTAAATAAAGTTGTAAGCCCTGTACTAACAATATGATACCAGTTATATCTACTTTACACTTTTACTGTGAAAAGTATTATTTTATTGCAATTGTGACCGCGAAACAAATAAATACTGTATATGACTAAACTGTCAAAATATAGAATTTATATATGTTAGTATTTAACTGAATTTTATTAAAATTTCATTTTTGTAGTTGAAGCATGTTTAATCTTTCCAAATTGCAGTTTTGTTTGATGTCATTTTTTCAACTTATGTATTGGAATTTTACCTGTGAAAAGCAACAGTTTCTGCACCTATGTGGTGAGAAATAGCCCTGTTCCTGCACCCAATTATCACACATGTAAGTGGCATGTTTACTGAACAATCCTGAATACTTATCTTTGTCCTAAAGACGACAATTATGCAGTGAAAAATAACTTTTGTTTGCAAAATCAAGGAAATATACGCTCTAACGTTAAAAAAAGGACTGGGGTGAGAAGAAGCTATACTTGTTTTTCTTCGTTAATATTACTTTAAAACATAATTTTGCTAACGTTCTGTTATGTTAATGTCATTATTGGTTTAACGTTTTTTAAGAAATTTTTAAAACAATACCATGCAAATTTGCAAGATGTCAAAATCGCATTTGTCGAGGCTTGTTAAGTTTGTTTTTTTTTTCAAAAAAGGCACGATTGCTTGATTGATCTATTACCGTAATCAAACTTACTATAAATGACCTGGAAAATTTACATTTTTTGCAATTTACTTCCAGTTTTTTCATAGTTTTGCAAAATCCGCTGTCAAAATGACTAAAACACTGACATATTTTGTTTTGGTCGTGTTTATCACAAGCGTGGAAAGACTGGGAACGATACTGTCGACTTAGGCTTCAAATTTCCGGGCGAAGATAGCCTTCCAGTTATATTTAGTTCAATGAATTGAACCATATTTTACGCTACACACGCGAGATTTTACCCAAGACACGCGCGTTTAGTGTTTCGAGTTCCTCTCGCGGAATAAAAATTGATTGACTACACACTCGTGTCTGGGGTAAAGTCTTGCGTGTCTGGGGTAAAATGACGGCTTTAAAAATTATTAGGGTTTTTTATTAGAGGTAGCGTTCCATGTATTTCAGCTCAATGCTCCATGCTGGATGCCTTAAAGTCTTGCATATGCCATTATTTATAAAATGACTCTCAACAGCAATTGGTTTATTTAATTCTTTAGAAAGGTTGAATTTCAAGATGACTTTTTTTTGGAGTGTTTTTTCCTATGTTGATAGAATTCAGTATCCTAAATTATTTTTGATAAAGTCATATTATTTTTATATATATATTTTGTAGAGTGTGGTATTTTCAATCAATTTTATCATGTATCATTGTCCTTTTTCAGATACGAATGGATTTTTCATCAAACATGTTCAGTCAGGAAAGTGTGTTGGGGATAATTTACCCTTTAACATGCTGTATACAATGAATTGTTTTGAGAAGTCAGCTTATTTTAAATTTTTACAATCTGGCTCCATCAATAGGTCGAATACAACAAGGTGTCTTGTGAGATACGGAATTTATGTGGACTTATCTGACGGAAATTTTAATGAAGAATGCGGAGCCATCAATACCATAACCCAAACAAATTGGGGTGGTCTATTTTATAAACGCTTTAATAAATGTATAGTAGCAAAGGCCTCCTTGGAACTTGTCAGTTGTAAAAATGAAGAAGATCAGCGATTCAATTTTGGCAAGTGAGAATATTCATCCATTTAGCGTATATATACTTAAACTCTAATTAAAAGCCACTGCAAGGCAGCAGATATAGGAATGGCGCCAGTGAAGTCACTGCCATCACACACTTTATTTTATCAAATCAAGTTTTATTTTGCAGTAATTGACAAATAAGCTTGTATAGATATGAATTTACTTATTTTTGTGTGTCTTTAATAGGCTCAGTAACATGTGATGGAAAAATATATCGGACGTTAGTTGTTCTAATAATCAATATATGGTGATAAAATTGCAGAATATCGTGGATTGAGAAACGGAAGCATTTGTGGCTCCAGTTATAACCACAGTTGTAGTGTTGATGTAACATGTGACCTTAAAATTACTGTGATGGTGAAAGAAAATGTAATGTAACTGTTGATGATAATCATTTCCTTCAAATATTTGTCCTGGTTTGGAGAAATATCTTTACTTTGAATATCAATGTAACTACACAAGTATGCCATACAGAAAAATTGCAATCGTAAGTATTATATGGGCAGATTATATTTTGCTTATTATTAAAAAGTTTCGGGACAAAATTTGACCTTAATGCGCAATGGTATGGTGCTCTTTTTTATACTATGTACGTTATCAATTTAGAAAAGTTGACACAAATTTGAATTTTCGTCGGGTGTCTTCACCAGGCGTGGTTTGTTTATGCAGTTTTATCTCGTATTGGATAATTTAGTGTCTTTTATAATGTGACATTTAAACTTGCCCTAAATATTTTTCATAAGTTTAATGGTTTGGTGAATTTTGTGTTTTTAGTTTGTTTATGCAAAAATTGGTTCATAGAAACATATCTTCTTCCAGTCAATTTGATTTATCAAATCTATTTTTTTTTTAAATCTTTTGGCCATTCTATGTAGGCCAAAAGTGGCATTTACAATTGCATTTGTATTCATATTTTCATGACTTCACACTACAGAATTTTTACGTATACTGTATATATATACAAAGATAGATTCATTACAATTCCTATGAATTGGGAGGCTAAATGCAGCGCTCACCTATAAAAAACGGTATTTGTTCTGGTTTCATTAATGATTCACATAATCACTTAGACACATTTTGTTGTGATTCGTGTTTACAACACAAGAGAAAAGTTCTCAGTTCAACTTATTTGCCTGTAGTTCATTGTCAACTTAAAGATTAAAATCAAAACAGTGCTTACCAACTTTAAGTGTAAATCTATAAGATACTGTGTCAATCAGAATGTGGAAAACATTTCATGTTAAGTGCTTTCAAACTAAAATTTTTTTAAGTTAATGTCACCTTCTGTGTTCTTCTGATATTCAAACTCCGTGTATATATTCTATTCATGGGCGAGATTTGTCATATTTATGTTCATAAAACCACTTCTAAAAACACAGATTTCACTTTAAGATATGCGCTAATTTTTGTGTGTCTTTAATAGGCTCAGTAACATGTGAAGGAAAAAGTATATCGGACGTTTGTTGTTCTAATAATCAATATATGGTGATAAAAGTTGCAGAATATCGTGGATTGCGAAAAGGAAGCATTTGTGGCTTCAGTTATCACCACATTTGTAGTGTCGATGTAACCTGTGACCTTAAAAATTACTGTGATGGTGAAAGAGAATGTAATATAACTGTTGATGATAATCATTTTCCTTCGAATATTTGTCCTGGTTTGGAGAAATATCTTTACTTTGAATATCAATGTAACAACAAAAGTATGGCATACAGAAAAATTTGCAATCGTAAGTATTATATGGGCAGATTATATTTTGCTTATTATTAAAAAGCTTCAGGACAAATTTTGACCTTAATGCGCAATGGTATGGTGCTCATTTTTATACTATGTACGTTATCAATTTAGAAAAGTCGACACAAATTTGAATTTTCATCAGGTGTCTTCACCAGGCGTGGTTTTTTTATGCAGTTTTATCTCGTATTGTATCATTTAGTGTCTTTTTATAATGTGACATTTAAACTTGTGTCCTAAATATTTTCATAAGTTTAATGGTTTGGTGAATTTTGTTTTTAGTTTGTTAATGCAAACTTTGTTCATGGAAACATATCTTATCCAGTCACTTTGATTTATCAAATCTATTTCTTTTTTAAAATCTTTTGGCCATTCTATGTAGGCCAAAAGTGACATTTACAATTGCATTTGTATTCATATTTTCATGACTTCACACTACAGAATTTTTACATATACTGTATATATATACAAAGATATATTCATTATAATTCCTATGAATTGGGAAGCTTAATGCAGCTCTCACCTATAAAAAACGGTATTTGTTCTGGTTTCATTAATGATTCACATAATCACTTAGACACATTTTGTTGTGATTCGTGTTTACAACACAAGAGAAAAGTTCTCAGTTCAACTTATTTGCCTGTAGTTCATTGTCAACTTAAAGATTAAAATCAAAACAGTGCTTACCAACTTTAAGTGTAAATCTATAAGATACTGTGTCAATCAGAATGTGGAAAACATTTCATGTTAAGTGCTTTCAAACTAAAATTTTTTTTAAGTTAATGTCACCTTCTGTGTTCTTCTGATATTCAAACTCCGTGTATATATTTTATTCATGGACGAGATTTGTCATATTTATGTTCATAAAACCACTTCTAAAACACTGATTTCAATTTAAGATATGCGCCATAATCACAATTAAAGGAAAAATAATTTTGATTTGTGTAGTTATGGATGTACGCCTGTCTAAGTCGAATCTTCCGAACGAAGGTGTCGTGAATGTTATTACCAAGCTTCGAAACTTCACCATTTGCAACAAAGGTCTTTTGCACAAAATAAAGACGATTATTTGTAAACAACTTGGTTATCCTACCGCAGTTTCTGTGGAAGGCTCAATGTCACTATCATCTTTGATGCATCAATCGTTTATACCTGGAATTGTCAAATGCGATGCTCGAGTAAACGATTTATCTCAATGTGCTATCATTCAAAATAATGATTGCTCTCAATACTCGTACGTTACATGTAAGCATTTTTATTCAATTCTTTGAATGTGTTAACGTATTGCAGGACACATTTGTATGACGTTGAAAAAAGTTTTGAGCGAAGAATTTAAGGAATGAATGTGTTACTTTTGGGTTTTCAACTTACATTTGTCTTTTGTTAAGCATCATGACTTACCTCTATCATCAAGACTTACATCTGTCATCGTAGTGTCACTGTATTTTACGCTGACTTGGAAAATTTCACAATTCTTCTTTTACATAACAAATATAGCATCAAAATATAAACGATTGCTACTCTTAAATAATAAATAATTAAAACAGGATTGCTGCGAATACTGAGGATTAAATTAATTTTACTCTTGCTACTTCATTTCGTGCTTCAAAAAATGTCCAATTGTCATTCCTCTGCAATACGATTGACGTTCACTCTTTAATGGAATTTAAATCGCTACGGTATTGTTGTTATTTGACAAGATACTTACGGTTTCTTGTCATAGCTGGCTTGATTCCAACTGGAATTTAACCTTATTTAATAAAAGCATGCAAAATCAGTCGTATTCCTCAAATATTCTTGTCTCTCTTTTCTTTCTTAAGAAAACAATTTTTAATTTTTCAATTTTACGTGAATGGAGAACAATATGAGAGTGCACCATTGCTCTCTATCAAATCAAACCAGTTCTAATGTTATAATGCATTTCAACCAAATCCTTTTCTATTTAAGGTCATGTTTGTGATAATCCTCTATTAAAAAACGCAGAAAAATTCCCAGATTCTTGGTTTACTGCCTTCCCAAAGAGTCGTAGTGCTGCTAAAGCAAGAATATCCAGTGGTAGTTCATGGTGTGCTCCGGCTGCAGATGGCAATCATTACCTTCAACTGAATTTTCCGAGTCTTTATACAGTTAACGTTATCACTATCTTTGGAGACAGTTCAAGTTCAAGCTTTGTAACTAAATATCACTTGCAGATAAACATTGATGGTGTGAACTGGAAATCTGAAAAATCCCAGAAGGTAACGTTAGAATTTTCATATTTGTATAATATAAATTTAATAGGAAATTTAAAAAATGAATTAAGTTATAAACTAAGTAAACTTCTAAATTGCTATTTATATACAAGCTTGTGTGCAGATGTTGATTCAGTGGTGTAGCCGGTACGCAAAATTGCTGGTTTTTTTAAATTTCACATCATTATCATTATTCATTTCTTTAAAGATCTTTAGTTTTTACAGTAAGTGAGCACTGAAAAATTTACATATAGCACGACCAAATTTGTGGGCTAGCTACGTCACTGTGTTGATAGTCTTAGTTACTCCAGCACTACAAAGGACTCTTGAATTTGATTATAAAGTTTAAATTGTAGCTATGTGCATGATTTGAAGAGATACAAAGACAATGCATAAACTACGCTCCTCTGGATTGAGCTAAACAAACCTGGCTTTTCTCTAACCTTGCTCTGCAAATACACGAAAATCATTTTTTTGTTTTACTCCAGATTTATTTAGGAAACAAAAATGGTTACAATGATGCGGCTATAAAAAAGTTTTCTGGTGGCCTTAAATCCAAAGCTTGGCGAATCTTTCCATTGAAATTTGTTGGTGCACCGTGTTTACGAATTGAAATTTGTGGTGGAGGTAAGAGGTGGAAAAAATATACCAGGTTTACTTTGCACTGTAAGCACTTAATTACTCAATATATAAATTTTTTTTCTCTGAGTATTAATTAAACTTATGTTAGTTGACAAAACGGAACAATTTTCCATGAAGGCTGAAGTGTTAGTTTCTTTCTCTGTTGAAATAAACTTATTGAAACAAGCCTTTTCAACATGCAGTTAAGTTTAACACGCATTATTGAAGAAAAAGCAGAACACTGATTTCATTTAGGGTCTACACATAGTTCAATTTGTAGATTTTTCTTTTATCGTGCAGACTTACTCCCAGACAAACCGACAGATCTCATTGCAACCAAATCTGCATCGACGTACCTCGAGATATCATGGAAACATCCCAAAAGAACTGGTGTAAAACTTGGTACAAATATCTCGAATCCTCTTACAAGATATCTATTGATTTTGCTGAAGGATACTATGATTGTTTTTAATAAAACTTTGGAGGTAACTGACAAAAAACCGTACCACATTACGAATCTTGTTCCTTACGCAACGTATAAAGTTAATGTAACCTCTGGCAATTCTGAAGGCTTTGGTAGATCAACTACAGCTACTTTTAGAACTGCTGAAGATGGTGAGTTCATGTCAGTTTTGATGTATACATATCGACTGTTGTTGCATTGGTTGTGTTATTGCCATAAACGACTTTTGAAAGCTCAAATCTTTTCTGGTCGACATTTATTTCAATCATGTTTTTCTTATACTGTATTATATTTAACTTAACATTGACAGTGTACACTTGTTAGGACTTCTTTCTAAAGTTTTTTTAATGTTTTACATAAATCTTTGAAACATATGTTTTTATTTTTGTTTAGTTCCCGAAGGTCCACCTTTAAATGTTCAAATTGTCGCCTTACGCAGTTCATCGTTATCAGTTACGTGGGAGCCACCAGACAAGAACAAAACAAATGGAAAGATAGTCAATTACACTGTTTGTATTACACATTTGGAGAATGAAACCTGTTCAATGAAGTATATGATCGAGTAACAGCGTTTGGACATAATTAATGTGAAACCAGGGAAAAAATATTATGTTCGTGTTTTAGCTTCTACAATAGTGGGATCTGGATGTTACAGCAATGGTACATGGGTATTTACAAATGGATGTAAGTTGTCTATGGTTTATGCACAGGTTTGTTTAAGATGATAAATTTATTCAAGTTTATTTATTTAGTGGCACCTGAACTGTCCACCAAGCAGATTGGAAATACGTTGACTTATTTGTTGCAAAATCCAAATTTGGAATATCGGTAACTATGTATTTTACTAGAGCAAATTATTGTAAAAAACTTAAAGGAACTTAAAAGTATTTTTTGAGTTTTTCGGATTCATGGCTAAGTATAGGACAGTTGGTTTCATGTGGGATCGAGGTAGTCTAAATATCTCTCTGGGAAAAGGTTTGATGACAAGTCGCTTTCTCTGGCAATGCGGATGCATGCATAACATATATTTTAACGATTAACAAAAGCAGAGGTTATGTATGTATTTTTAAAAATGTTTTGCCTTCAATTTGCAGATATTTCTATGTAGTCGCGATGAAAAATGTCACAGAAGAGGGTCGATTGCCTTCTAACTTTAACAACACAGACTTAGTGACTTATTCTAAGGCCATATCTTCCACACAACGAATGCCGTATATTGCTGCTGTAGTCTCTCGCAGAGACTTTAAGCCTCATTTTTCACTTGGTGACGGTGAAACCACAACACGGCGTTCCAATGGTGAAAATTATTATAATGGCCCGCTAAAGCCTGGCACTAACTACAAAATATTTCAGCGCGTTTTCATTAATGATCAGGTGCGATATTTTTTATACATTTTCATCTGCATTGATTGCTGCAATTTTTATTCAAATATAAACGTTCACTTCGTTTCAGGGTGATTACTATTCCACTGACTGGAGTCCTGTGGCAACAACTGTTGAAAAGCACAAGTCTTCAGGTTTGTGTTTGCTTTCATTAGCTTGGGGGAAGTTTATCGATGTCTAAAGTGTAATGCTTCAAAATATTTACAAATCTCAGTACAGACAAATGCCGGAAAATTTTTTAACGATGAGTAGAGATATTATTTGATTATACAGCCGATTTAATTCTAACAAATAACTGGCTTAGTGATTTTGTGTTTCTCTTCTCTAATTTCATTGCGTTCCAAACCTAATTTATACCATAAATAAATCATGAATAGTTAACAGGGATGAATACATGGGGTGTGAGAGGGGTTACACCCTCAGCTTTAGAAAAATGATAAACTGATCGCTGAAAGACAACATTGGTGGGTAATGTTATGATTTGTCATTCATTTTTATCTTGTAGACGGTAGAAACACTGGAGCTATTGCTGGTGCAGTTGTAGCTTTGTTTTGCTCATTATTCTTGTCATATTGGTCATTTTTGTTGTTAGGATCAATTCAAACTCTGCTACCATGCAGTGAACTGCGTATTGTAGTCATTCGACGACTACTAAAAGTTCTCAAAATGGGGAAGTTGAATTTTTTCGCGAAATTATTAGACGTTTTCTGAAATTTAGCGTACTATAAAAGAATATAATTAAGCATAAAATTTTATTTCCTTTTAACTATAAGAGTGAACGAGAGTGAATGATTCTGAACAGTATTAAAAACAATTTGGAACATAACATCAAATTTTTAGACTAAGGATGTAGTCAATATTTGAAATAGGATAACAGCTGTAATACTTTTATCTAAATACATTAAATAAGAAATAAAGTTAAATTACAAATAAACATTGGCGTAGCATGCTCAGTAATTTATTTTAATGAGGGGGATTTTCATACATTCATGTATTTTGGAGTTAGTGGAATATGTATGAATATGTGCGCACTGTCATCTCATTAATTTACCTGACGTAGGAAACAGGAAGTTTTAGTGGATGGAGTTGATATTGTTACCAACTTTGTTAGTGTTAAAAAATGGTAATTCAAAGCATGTTCTTGTCCTTTCTTGTTTTCTCTTCTTATCGTCATGATGATATTCATAGAAAATATCCAAAATTTTCGAGTTAATTGAATTTCCTGATTATTTGATTGCGAGAGTGCTAGGAACGTTGTACTTCAGCTGTAGATTAGTGATTAACGAAGAAGAAGAAATGGGTTGGAAGCAACAACTGGACATTTTAAAAAACATGAAAAATGTATGTGTCAGAAAGCTCGATTGCAAAACACAGCCTTTTGGTTGAATACTAAGGTAAGAGCCGAGTGGTTTCAAGTTAATTGGTGACAATCAAATCGTTAATGAATAGTCTGTTGTTAACCCCTCTCCTCGTTTTTCTACACCGGCCTGAACACCAACGAAAGATTGATCTCTGTTTAAACGCGGCCATAACTTACATTTGCTTTCGAATTATGCTTTATTTACGGAAAATATCAACTTGTTACAAATAAAGAAATACGGGGCATTTACAATGAAACATGAAGGTATCTTTATGAGGGTATTTAAGACTTGTGCGAAACAGCGAATCAGGCTATAGTCACGGAAAACATAGCGACCCTCTCACGAGTATCTCCGGTTAATACGTCACATTTACAGATGACCGGAAGTGCCCGGTGTTTCAACTTTCAAGAGTTCACTGATATCATGTAAAATGGCGGATTGTAAAAATTTGATAGTGTTGTGGTTACGGACGAAATTTTGTCCTCAAAAGGTATTGACTTTTCAATATCAATTGTCAGTTTTTAAATATTTCATTACATTTTGTTCACTTTGTACTCCGTTGGCGTTAATTTGACCTTTTAAATTGACAATCATTAGTCACCATGTTTCGAGACAAAGCCGATTAACAAAGACTCAGCAGACGGCAAAATATTCTCCTTGCCTGTATTTGTGTGCTATTCGTATTCTTCCTTTTGTTTTTTGCTTTTGCGGCATCCAATTTAAGTAAAACTATACGCTACAGTTTCTTCAAATGACCACTATTGAATTAAATTAAGAAACAAAGACTGACAAGCAATTTGATATTCTGATGAAAAAGTTTTTCGTTTGATATTTGATGTCTTCAAGAAGTGAATCTCAGAATTGAATTTCCAAATTGAAAAAGAACTTTAGATGTGCCTCGACTCTTTTAAAGATACAAATAAATGTGTGTCTTTTGTCTGATTTCTATGGACATGATAATTGTATGTTTGACTTCAAAATTATGAGTCGCTTTATCTGATGTGATTCATGTTGAAAGTTTTAACATATTTTTGTCTGGTGATTAGTGTCTTGTGAAAATTGATTTGATGTTGAAACTTACTCCTTATCTGTTCCAGTCTTAGTGTAGATTGATCTTTTGTATAATTACAATAGCTATGTTGCTGTATATAAAATTAAAGTCTTTATCACAAGGAATCCAGTGCAGTGTCTTCATTCCGTATTCACTATTGTAAAGTATTTTGTGGGATTTGTCTCTTGTTACTCCTGCTACACCATTTGCTCATCATTAAAGAAGATTGAACATTCAATTATGCAATTTTACTTAACAGTAGAACAGTAGAATATTCATTAACTTGAAGGAAGAATCAAGAGCTCCAGTAGACAATAGCATTTATTTATACTGCTTAACAATTGGGAATATTCAAGTCGCATTAATGCGCATTCAATTCAAGAAAAGTTTGAATCATTTGGATAAGAAGACATTTAAATAAACAAATGTATATGTTGTGCAACAGATAGTGTGTTGTAATAGGTATAAACTGTTGCACATTGTCTGTTGCAATCACAACACTGCACTTCTCTTTTCTTACAAAGTATGTATATACATGTTGTGCTATTGATTGTTAACTGCTGCTCTTGATGATAATTATTCTACAGCACTATTGATAAGTCAAAACATGTAATTGAATGTCCCATGTTATTAGATGATGAGCAAATGATATTTTTGAAGAAATGTGTTAAATTACTTTTTTCTGGTTATTTGCTAGGAATAAATGTCTGCAAAGCAGAAAAAGATGAGGAAACGCCAATTCAAATTCGATAGAGAAAGCCGACAAATCCATATCATCTCGCACAGTCCATGTTAAGGAAACTTTCATATTGGCAAGGCATAGCTTACACGGAACAATCTTAACTATTCACAGCAGATTTCTGCCTTTTGTTTTTGTGCGGCAAATGGATTATATTATTCGGTGAATTAGGAAAATTGGGAGGAGCATTTTCATACATATACCATATATATTCTTTTGCAAAAGTTATCATTCAAACTGCTGGCATCCTTTGTAACAAATAGAATTCACTTTTTGTGAATCAAACATGGCAACAGACTCGTGGAAGGTACTTTCTACTGCTTTTTTTTTTGAAAAATTTTATTTTCATTTCATTTTGTTGTTAATGTTTCTTACTAATTAGAAACATTCTATAATGTTTTCTTCCTAATTAGAAACATTCTATAATGTTTTCTTACTAATTAGAAACATTCTATAATGTTTTCTTACTACTTAGAAACATTCTATAATGTTTTCCTACTAATTAGAAGCATTCTATAATGTTTTCCTACTATTTAGAAGCATTCTATAATGTTTTCCTACTAATTAGAAACATTCTATAACATTTTCTTACTACTTAGAAACATTCTATAACATTTTCTTACTACTTAGAAACAGTCTATAATGTTTTCATACTAATTAGAAACATTCTATAAGGTTTTCTTACTACTTAGAAACATTCTATAATGTTTTCTTACTAATTAGAAACATTCTATAATGTTTTCCTACTAATTAGAAACATTCTATAATGTTTTCCTACTAATTAGAAACATTCTATAACATTTTCTTACTACTTAGAAACATTCTATAATGTTTTCATACTAATTATAAACATCCTATAACGTTTTCTTACTAATTAGAAACATTCTATAATGTTTTCTTATTACTTAGAAACATTCTATGTGAACAAATGGGTCTCAGACTATGGTATTGGTGACCATTACCTTTCAAATGGTGTTCATGTAAGACACAGGGAAACAGGTGTCATTGAAAAACTTTGTGTAAGTTATTTTAACAATTTAAAGTCAGTTTAGTATGGAGTTTTTATGCACTGGTCAAGGACCCAAATTACTGCAAAAAAATGCTTGCCGACGTTTTTTGAAATTTTTTCATGGATCATTATGTGACATTGACAAATGCAAAAGTTTGCTGCAGATTCTGTTGTTTTTACAAAGGTGTTGCTTTTGTAGAGTAAGTTCCTGCAAGATAAAAATAAGATGTACAATGAAGAAGTATAAAATTTATCTATGACTGAAAAACTTGTTTTTTAATACACAAAAAATATGTCACTTTTTTCATCTAAAAGTGTATTTGCATGATATCTAAAAGTTTGCCAAAATGTTTTTGATTTCAATAGCCTTTGTAGAGGAAGCTGTAACCGTTTTGCACTCTTTGGTGTCTTATTTTTTGTTCTGGTCAATTTGAAAAGCTTTCTATTGAAACTTCCATTTGGACTGTTTGCTCCAGTAATATATGTTTTAAGATAATTCTAATATCAAGTCCCATTATCGACATAGGCACTTTAATCCAACATGACAGATATTGTATCAATTTTACCTTAGATTGTGAAAATACCTTCAACTGAAATTCACGTGCCCATTTGTGTAATATTAATCTACACCCTGTTTGAGGACATTAAACCACATTTGTATTCATTCAACCACATTTGAAAACATTCATCTACATTTGAATACATGCATCTACTTTTGTGTAGATTTAACCAAATTTGAATACATTCATCTACTTTTGTGTACAATTAACCACATTTGAATACATTCATGCACATTTGAATACGTTCATCTACTTTAGTGTACATTTAACCACATTTGAATACATTTATGTACATTTGAATACTTTCATCTACTTTTGTGTACATTCAACCACATTTGAATACATTCATCTACATTTCAATACATTCATCTACTTTTGTGTACATTCAACCACATTTGAATACATTCATCTACATTTGACTGTATTGTACTACATTTGACCAGCAATGAGTGCTTTGACATCAACATGTGTATTAATGACATCTTCCATAATGTTATTGATATATATTCCCTAAGTTCATCCCCTCTAAAAGCACATTCAGTCTTTCTTCTATAACATTTATGCATGTTTTTTTGCAGCAAAGTTATGGCTTTATTGAGTGTGCTGAACAGGATCTTCGAGTGTTCTTTCATTACAGTCAGTACAAAGGACATTCAAGTGAACTGGAACTTGGTGGTTTGTAAATTTTGCTTATTTTCAGCCTTCAATGACCTTTATATTACTTGTTATGTGTGCAACTAATATTATATTGCTTTTCTGAAACGTTGATATAATTTCATTCAAGTATGAGGCTTGTTGCCTTTCTGCTATTTAGTAAGGGGAACAAGCTGTTTTTCTGGGCTTATCCAGTTATTCAGAGCATTTGTTTCATCAGTCATTATTTGAAAAGCATTCTTTGTCAAGTAATTCATTGGGTTTCCTCATATGACTTTTCCCTCCCTACCATAATCAGTGGTGGAGACTTTATCACATATTGGAAGCTCATCCTCAAGGCATGAGAGTTCTATGGAGATTCCAGGGCATGCCTTTGTTTGTATACTTTTAAAATTTGATCCCCACCATCTGAATCCCACCACAGTACATGTTATCAACACGTGGCATTCACGTGCCTTCATGATGTTGTATGAGGGTGTTCTTTGCTATTCTAACTTGCACTGCTCTGTCTTTTAATGTGAATGTGATGGGTATTCTGAAGGACTCTGTCTGCAAAAAAGTGTGTCCAAAGTTACTGTTAGTTATAAAACAACTTTTCAAAATCATGTATAGTCTTTGTTTTATTGTAGGGTAAAACGAAACAGAACTTTGTTTATTTACCTAGTCAGAACAAACCACTGATCATTGACTTGTTGGGGAATTTCACACTGTAATCCTTCACCCATCCGCCCCCCACCGCCTATCCCATTGTCTCTATTGCTATTTCAAAGGCCACTGCTCTGGGCTATAATCTGAAGTGTAAAAAACATTTCGATTGATATTGATAGTTGATTAAATCTTTTTTTTGTTTAGACTGTGTGGAGTTTGAAGTGACATCAGATTCTCGTAAGGGTAAACCAATTGCATGTCGAGTGGTGAAATTAGAACAAGGCTCTGTTACATTTGAAGTAAGTGACCTTGACACATTGTGTACTTTTTGACGCTTGCCGTGTATGCACGTTCATCCTGGTTTGGTTTACAAAGTTTTACGAGAAATTGAGAAATCATCTTTTGGTGAATCATCCATTTCTGTTTCTATTGTAGGAAAAGAGCGAGGAAAGAGTTGTTGGTAAAGTGGAAGTTGAGGGCAGGTTGTCGAGACACAGCTACCCCAAACAGGTGATTTTCATCGTGATCAATTAGCTGTGAAAATGTAATAGTCAGTGGCGAAGCAAACCCGTTAATTAAGGGATGGGGAGGGGTGGGTAGATAACAAATTCATCTATGCACGTCTTTATGCATGTAACACAATGGAACTCAATACGGCAGGATATGCATATGTGGAATATATGGATGTGTGCTCACCCTCTCCTCCCAGTTATTGTACTTGCTACACCACTGTTCATTATGCATATTGCTTTAAAATTACTCGTTGTTAATGGTCGTGTATGAATTTTTTGAGTTGCGTATTGCTGTTGTTTTATTGTACTTTGAATGTTTGGGATGTCGTTTTCGAAGAAAGTTTCATTATTTTTGTAGCAGTTATTTCGCAATGGCGAGTCCGAATGTGGTCGCGTTAGTTATGAAGTGAACGGAGTAAGTACTGTTTGAACTTCTTCATTTTTTATGCATCTTCACGTTGCTAACTTTTATACCTAAGTCATTTGGGAGTTGAGAGACAAGAATTAATGTAAAATATAAAAAGTATCAAACTTTTTACTCAACATCTTATATCGAACATTTATCGATTGGGCAATAAAAACAGAACACACCAGTGGGCAAAATAGTTGCTTTGGGCAAAAATCTCAAAATTGAAACAGGCAAGAAAGTTAATGACGTGACGATAAGGGAAAGTGTAGATTACTGCCTGCAAATTATTGACATTTCCTTCATCTTTTTTAAAACAGGTTTTCGCCCTTATTTCCTTTTTTGGTTTTGATCATTCCCTCCACACCATAGAAAGCTTACTGTGCATATTTTGCCGTATTAAATTAATTTTTTAGGCTTTTTGACATGCATACCTACATAAACATTGACTACCCTCCCCACCTCCACAATTATTGAGGCTATTATAGCGGCACTGTATTGTCGCCCTTGATAAGTAAAAATTATACTGCAATATGGGATTAGGTTTAGATCAGATGAGATGAATTTAAGATCATTGCATGATACAGGTATGCACTGTCGGGGGTGGAGTTTAAGATAATTGCATGATACAGGTATGCACTGTCGGCGGTGGAGTTTAAGATAATTGCATGATACAGGTATGCACTGTCGGGAGTGGAGTTTAAGATAATTGCATGATACAGGTATGCACTGTCGGGAGTGGAGTTTAAGATAATTGCATGATACAGGTATGCACTGTCGGGGTGGAGTTTAAGATAATTGCATGATACAGGTATGCACTGTCGGGAGTGGAGTTTAAGATAATTGCATAATACAGGTATGCACTGTCGGGAGTGGAGTTTAAGATAATTGCATGATACAGGTATGCACTGTCGGGGTGGAGTTTAAGATAATTGCATGATACAGGTATGCACTGTCAGCGGGTGGAGTTTAAGATAATTGCATAATACAGGTATGCACTGTCGGGGTGGAGTTTAAGATAATTGCATAATACAGGTATGCACTGTCGGGAGTGGAGTTTAAGATAATTGCATGATACAGGTATGCACTGTCGGGGGTGGAGTTTAAGATAATTGCATAATACAGGTATGCACTGTCAGGGGGGTGGAGTTTAAGATAATTGCATAATACAGGTCTGCACGGTCAGGGGGTGGATCTTTATGATTCGAACCGTTGCTCTTTTTTTTCAGGAATTGTTTTTTCTTCCATATGATCAAGCTTATGTTTTATCAAAGTCTCTTATCTACAAAGGTGATACTGTGTCTTTTTACATCCTGGAAAACAAAAGGTAAATTATATTCTTTGCTATAGCGTCGAAAGCTTGTACTGTTTCTCTAGATTGTATCACGTGCTTCATCACGTGCATTACATTACGTGGTTAAGCAATGAATGCGCAGTCTTAAGAATGTTCTTTCTATTTTGGTGAAGTCTTTCTCCTTATTTCTACGCTTTGATATGCTACCTTACACAGGAAAACGCTTTGGTTAACGTTTATAACATGGACGTTAGTTTATTATTTACACGAACCATGTCAAATTTACGAGCCATGTCCAAATTGTTGTTTTTTTGATGCACTGCTACAGTTCATAAACCTCTATAGAAATGGACAGTGCTGTGCCGTGGAGTTGTTGCTGCTCGAAGCTTTGCCTCCTGTTTACGTTCAAGGAATTGTCTGCTCGCTCAAGGAATCTTTTGGTTTCATCGACAGAGCTGACAAAGTGAACGAGGTTTGTGTTTGGGCCGTTGCAGTTGCTAACTGTAGATCAATATTGATAATTTATTGTTTAATAAAAAATGAGTTCTATCAGTTATTTCACTTATGTATACAATTTGATCGTTTGTAATATATTATACACACGATGACTTCTCATTGGCATTTGACGTAGGATTAGAAGTTTTCGGTCTGCAAACGAGTCACGTGACTCAACTGACGTGTTTTTGTGATAGCTGACGACAGCAACAAGTTTATTTTTGAAAATTCGTAAAGTTTGTTTGTAAAAACTTGGCCAATTATTACGACGCTACATCTACATATGCACAAACATGTAACATTCGTAAAGTTTCTTTTGTAAAAACTTGGCCAATTATTACGACGCTACATCTACATATGCACAAACATGTAACATTCGTAAAGTTTGTTTGTAAAAACTTGGCCAATTATTACGACGCTACATCTACGTATGCACAAACATGTAACATTCGTAAAGTTTGTTTGTAAAAACTTGGCCAATTATTACGACGCTACATCTACGTATGCACAAACATGTAACATTCGTAAAGTTTGTTTGTAAAACTTGGCCAATTATTACGACGCTACATCTACATATGCACAAACATGTAACATTCGTAAAGTTTCTTTGTAAAACTTGGCCAATTATTACGACGCTACATCTACGTAAGCACAAACATGTAACATTCGTAAAGTTTGTTTGTAAAACTTGGCCAATTATTACGACGCTACATCTACGTATGCACAAACATGTAACATTCGTAAAGTTTGTTTGTAAAAACTTGGCCAATTATTACGACGCTACATCTACGTATGCACAAACATGTAACATTTGTAAAGTTTGTTTGTAAAAACTTGGCCAATTATTACGACGCTACATCTACGTAAGCACAAACATGTAACATTCGTAAAGTTTGTTTGTAAAAACTTAGCTAATTATTACGACGCTACATCTACGTATGCACAAACATGTAACATTCGTAAAGTTTGTTTGTAAAACTTGGCCAATTATTACGACGCTACATCTACGTATGCACAAACATGTAACATTTGTAAAGTTTGTTTGTAAAACTTGGCCAATTATTACGACGCTACATCTACGTAAGCACAAACATGTAACATTCGTAAAGTTTGTTTTGTAAAACTTGGCCAATTATTACGACGCTACATCTACGTAAGCACAAACATGTAACATTCGTAAAGTTTGTTTTGTAAAACTTGGCCAATTATTACGACGCTACATCTACGTATGCACAAACATGTAACATTCGTAAAGTTTGTTTGTAAAACTTGGCCAATTATTACGACGCTACATCTACGTATGCACAAACATGTAACATTCGTAAAGTTTGTTTGTAAAACTTGGCCAATTATTACGACGCTACATCTACGTAAGCACAAACATGTAACATTCGTAAAGTTTGTTTTGTAAAACTTGGCCAATTATTACGACGCTACATCTACGTATGCACAAACATGTAACATTCGTAAAGTTTGTTTGTAAAACTTGGCCAATTATTACGACGCTACATCTACGTATGCACAAACATGTAACATTCGTAAAGTTTTTTGTAAAACTTGGCCAATTACTACGACGCTACATCTACATACGCACAAACATGTAACATTCGTAAAGTTTGTTTGTAAAACTTGGCCAATTATTACGACGCTACATCTACGTATGCACAAACATGTAACATTCGTAAAGTTTGTTTGTAAAACTTGGCCAATTATTACGACGCTACATCTACGTATGCACAAACATGTAACATTCGTAAAGTTTGTTTGTAAAAACTTGGCCAATTATTACGACGCTACATCTACGTAAGCACAAACATGTAACATTCGTAAAGTTTGTTTGTAAAAACTTGGCTAATTATTACGACGCTACATCTACGTATGCACAAACATGTAACATTCGTAAAGTTTGTTTGTAAAAACTTAGCTAATTATTACGACGCTACATCTACGTATGCACAAACATGTAACATTCGTAAAGTTTGTTTGTAAAACTTGGCCAATTATTACGACGCTACATCTACGTATGCACAAACATGTAACATTCGTAAAGTTTGTTTGTAAAACTTGGCCAATTATTACGACGCTACATCTACGTATGCACAAACATGTAACATTCGTAAAGTTTGTTTGTAAAACTTGGCCAATTATTACGACGCTACATCTACGTACGCACAAACATGTAACATTCGTAAAGTTTGTTTGTAAAACTTGGCCAATTATTACGACGCTACATCTACGTAAGCACAAACATGTAACATTCGTAAAGTTTGTTTGTAAAACTTGGCCAATTATTACGACGCTACATCTACGTAAGCACAAACATGTAACATTCGTAAAGTTTGTTTGTAAAACTTGGCCAATTATTACGACGCTACATCTACGTAAGCACAAACATGTAACATTCGTAAAGTTTGTTTGTAAAACTTGGCCAATTATTACGACGCTACATCTACGTACGCACAAACATGTAACATTCGTAAAGTTTGTTTGTAAAAACTGGCCAATTATTACGACGCTACATCTACGTAAGCACAAACATGTAACATTCGCAAAGTTTGTTTGTAAAAACTTAGCTAATTATTACGACGCTACATCTACGTACGCACAAACATGTAACATTCGTAAAGTTTGTTTGTAAAAACTTAGCTAATTATTACGACGCTACATCTACGTACGCACAAACATGTAACATTCGTAAAGTTTGTTTGTAAAACTTGGCCAATTATTACGACGCTACATCTACGTATGCACAAACATGTAACATTCGTAAAGTTTGTTTGTAAAACTTAGCCAATTATTACGACGCTACATCTACGTACGCACAAACATGTAACATTCGTAAAGTTTGTTTGTAAAACTTGGCCAATTATTACGACGCTACATCTACGTACGCACAAACATGTAACATTCGTAAAGTTTGTTTGTAAAACTTGGCCAATTATTACGACGCTACATCTACGTACGCACAAACATGTAACATTCGTAAAGTTTGTTTGTAAAAACTTGGCCAATTATTACGACGCTACATCTACGTAAGCACAAACATGTAACATTCGCAAAGTTTGTTTGTAAAAACTTAGCTAATTATTACGACGCTACATCTACGTACGCACAAACATGTAACATTCGTAAAGTTTGTTTTGTAAAAACTTGGCCAATTATTACGACGCTACATCTACGTACGCACAAACATGTAACATTCTCAAAGTTTGTTTGTAAAAACTTGGCCAATTATTACGACGCTACATCTACGTACGCACAAACATGTAACATTCGTAAAGTTTGTTTGTAAAAACTTGGCCAATTATTACGACGCTACATCTACGTAAGCACAAACATGTAACATCCGTAAAGTTTGTTTGTAAAAACTTGGCCAATTATTACGACGCTACATCTACGTACGCACAAACATGTAACATTCGTAAAGTTTGTTTGTAAAAACTTGGCCAATTATTACGACGCTACATCTACGTAATTACAAACATGTAACATTCGTAAAGTTTGTTTGTAAAAACTTGGCCAATTATTACGACGCTACATCTACGTAATTACAAACATGTAACATTCGTAAAGTTTGTTTTGTAAAAACTTGGCCAATTATTACGACGCTACATCTACGTACGCACAAACATGTAACATTCGTAAAGTTTGTTTGTAAAACTTGGCCAATTATTACGACGCTACATCTACGTACGCACAAACATGTAACATTCGTAAAGTTTGTTTGTAAAAACTTGGCCAATTATTACGACGCTACATCTACGTACGCACAAACATGTAATAATGCTCCCAGGCTTAAACCTTTCGCTTGATCAAAGTGAAAATTAAAGACTTGCCTTCTCCTCCTTGTGAAGTCTCGCATTTTACTCAGATAAATCGAGAAAGGTTCAACTTGAAACAAAGAAAATATTTCTGTATATCTTATTGCAATTCGCGCAAAAAGTCTACTGAAGTTTTATACTATATTTTTTTTAGATATTTTTCCACTACAGTGAATTTCTTGGGGATATTGGTGATTTGTTGATAGGAGATGATGTCCAGTTTGCTGTACAAAATAGATATGTATGTTGGCTATGTATTATGTAGCCATTGCTCAATGTTGGACATTCTCTACCCCCTCCCCCCGTCTGTACTTATGTCAATCACATGCTCACAGGGTAAAGAAGTTGCAGTCTCAGTGGAGCGTCTACCAGAAGGTACAGTGAAGTTTGATGATGTTAGCAAAGACACATTTCAAGGCACCATCGAGAAAGTACATTGTCGGACAAAAAGACAGGAACCGTTAAATGGTGTGATATTGTACAACACAAGCGATGGTAGTTCACAGCTGCCATATTGGGAGAAAGATGTCTTGGGGGAGTTCACCGTCTTGACTTGGGATGTTGTTGGTTTTAAAATTGCTACAGGTAAATATGGTTTGTTGTAACTATTGGTATTATTTCAACATGTGCAAGATCAATGAGAGATGATTTTGTTGATCTAGGCGAAGAACAGTTTAAAACTGATTTAGATATCTAGTATATATAGATTAAGTTACGATCGATAAAACAGGCGGGAATCGTACTCAAAATATAAATATTAAATTACTAAGTTAGTTTAGGTTTTCTTCTGTAGTAACACTGGATCAATAAGAGCTTATCTTTGCTGGATCTTTAGGAAGAAGAGTTTAGAACTGGAAGAAATATCTAACATAAAATAAAATTGGTTTAGTTTAGGTTTGTTTCTGTGGTAACACTGGATCAACAAGATATGATCTTAACAGGATCATAAGAAAGAAATGTTTAGGACTGATAGAAATATTTAGTAAAAATAAAGTTAATTTAGTTTAGGTTTCCTTTAGTAGTAACACTGGATCAACAAGATATGATCTTTACTGGCTCATTAGAAAGAAAAGTTTAGAACTAATAGAGATATTTAGTATAAATAAAGTTTGTTTAGTTTAGGTCTCTTTCTGTAGTAACACTGGATCAAAAGAGATGATCTTTACAGTAAGAACTGTTCAGAACTGATAGAGATATCTAGTATAAATAAAGTTAGACTCGTTTAAGTTTTCTTCTGAAATATTAGCCTAACAGGTTGTTAGAATCCAGGCTCTAATATGCGGAGTTTTACTTTACACCCTACTTCAGCCTCATATCTAATCTTAGTTAATAATTTCGTTATTGTAACTGTGGGTGAGGCTTGCTCCATCGACATAATTGTTTAAAACTTCAACTAGTCTTCCTTTGCTTAGGCATTACCATGTTTAGACGTAACATTTTGTTTTAAACTAGTTAGTTGTCTTCCTTATTGTTGATTGAATGTTTTGGTGTCTGGTTTAACGTGCATGTCTGAACATTTGAAGAAAACACCAAACGTGTTTGTACCTTACAGAATAACCAAGCTTCCAAACTATAGTTTTCCTTTGAGTGTGTCCAGTTCGATATGGCAACATATCCATACAATGAAAGAAATTAACAAATTTTTCCCATGATATCGGGAATATAAAGCAAACTTCCATCTTTTAGCCTCTCAGTCAAGCGATACATCTCTTTTCTTTTCGTGCAGATCGGCGTGATTCTTTAAGAAGAGCAACGGAAATTCATCTCATCAAGGAAGTGGAAAGCAGCAATGGATGCAATGTCAGAGAAAGAGTAAGTTTTTAATTTTCATTTACATGTGCTAGTGTTTAGACTGCGTCATGAGGAAGCCATTTCTCCAAATTTTACGGGAAATTGTTTACCTTTATCACTGTGATGGCAAATGTTAATTGCTTGGAGTTATGGTTTGAACTTTTCCCCTCCCCGTCTATGAGTATTTTGTCCACCCCCCGTCAAAAACATTCAATCCCCCCCTCAAATTGTACCTCCCTAAAAAGTTATATATGCTCTGTAAGCATTCAAAATTTCACAATGTATCGTTGAAAATAAAGGTTTGTCCAAAGTATTTTATCGTCTTCAAAATTATCTCTCATATTTTGTTGGGAGATTTTTTATTTTCGACAACGCTAACATTGTGCTCCATGGTCATTGGCTTTGGGCATTTTCATTTTATGATTGTCGATTTGTAGCTAGAGTGCACAGAATCGACTTAAATTCGTTTCCTTCTTAAAGATCTATGTAGAAATTGTTCGTGGTGTAATGTGATTAAATGCATGATTTTTTGTTCCTTGTTAGGATTTGTTTCGGATTTGAAAGACGGCTATGGCCTCATTCAGTGTTGTGATAGAGGTACAAGATTACTCTTTCATTTCAGCGAGTTACTTGACTACGTGAGTTTGTTTGTAATGGCAATCGTAAGCAAAAAACCTTTCAAATCAACCTCTTCTAACCACGTTAGAACATCGTTTGCTACATAAAGCTCGATATGTGCCAGTGAAAGTATGTCAAGATAAATCGATGGAGAAAGTAGCTTTGCTGATGTTAGTTTAAAGTATCGTTAAATGTTTGTAGATGAAGATCGTCCAGGTTTAGTGAAGTTCTGAGAAGGACTGTTGGTGTTTGTGTTGACTGTCAGCCGTATAACCAGAGTGTTTACAACATTTGCGGTAGGCTTCACTCTGAAGATGACTACCGCTTAGGTTGTCGAAACGTCAGTCAACATCAACAACAACAATCATTCTCAAGATTTCCCGAACGTGGACGATCTACATCTACAAACATACAACGATACTCCCGGGTTCAAATCATTTACTTTAAAGCCTTATCAGTTAGTGGATGATCGTGTCAAATAATATTGCTTGTCGCGATGCAGTTGCTGTTTTATTTTCCATAGGAACAAGAAATCAACTTTTCCGATGAAGTGGAGTTCAGTGTCGTCGAGGTTCGTAAAAAAAGATGCATTTTGAGATTTTTTTCGACTAACTGATTTATACAGCTTTAAAACGCGTTTACAGGATCACGTGTCCGGAAGGCTGAATGCGGTTTGTGTTAGAATCTTACCACGGGGAAACATAACTCTCCAGGTATAGTCACCATAGTGTATCAACCAATCATATAGTCACCATAGTGTATCAACCAATCATATAGTCACCAAAGTGTATCAACCAATCATATAGTCACCATAGTGTATCAACCAATCATATAGTCACCATAGTGTGTCAACCAATCATATAGTCACCATAGTGTATCAACCAATCATATAATCACCCTAATATATCAACCAATCATATAGTTGAGAGTGCTAGGAGCATTGTGTTTGGCTGTAGACTAGAGATCAACGAAAAAAAAAAAGAAATTGGTTGGAAGCAAAGACACAAGATTTTACAAAACAAGAAAAATGCATATGATCGCGAAACACATCCTTCTCTACTATAGTTTGTTTTTAACCCCTCTCCTTGTTTTTCAACACTGTTAAAATTTACATTTGCGTTCGAATTATGATTGATTTACGGAAAATATCAACTTGTTACAAATACAAAAATACAGAATATCATTCAGAGACTCTAGACTCTAGATATGAGAAACGTAGCCAACACTATAACGAGTGTCTCCGATTCATTAGTTTTCATTAGTTGGAACACACACCAACTATTATGATGTATTAGCTTTCACTTAAAAAGAATATGAGCAGACGACCATCAAGTAAAACAGTTTCTTCTCGTCATGTAATATCAAGTAGTCTATTGATATCTTCAAATAATCACGTGTTAATTATAGTTGGGCTGCTTTTTTTGTCCACCTCCTGTTCACTTAATGTTTATTACGTTCGTCTTTGTCATTCATTTTTATCTTATAGGCGGTGGAAATGATGGAGCTTTTACTGATGCAGTTGATCTCCTGATTGGTTTTTATTCTTGTCGTATTGGCTGTTCGTTAGGATCAATATAAACTCTTGTACACGAACGTGCAGTAAAATGCGTGTTGAAGTTATTCGACGACTACTGACAACATTTGATGAGAGTGAATTCTTGACTTGCAATTTAGCCATTTAGCGGTATAATAGAAAAGAATATTTTATCAGTGTTATTATTGGCACCAGCCAACTTGTGCGAGCAACATTGTTTGGTAAATCTCAAGAGAATGGTTGCAAGTCAAGAATAGTTCTGAATTTAAATATAAATTAAAATTATCAAATGCTCAAATCAAACACTCTGTAACGACTGCTCACTTTCATGTCTCAATATATAGGTTAGTTTAACAACCGTTTGCTTGTTCATTAAAATTATTTAAGAATGATTGTAATTTGTATAGGAAAAATAAAGAACTTAGCTTTTAGAAAGGAAAATCACAACTCAACTTCTTGTTACAAATTGTTTATCAATCTGTTCTCTTTGTTATTATCAATGGTATCACAAAATTGGACTCCTGTGTATACGTAGGCAATGGATGTACGATTTTGCACTGTGGAAGATTGTTTTGTATTTTGGAATAATCAGAATATTCTAACCCACTTGAGAGAACTCAAGTACTACGGTAGCTCTTACCAAGTGTCGTGATTTGACTGCAAATGCTATTTAACGTTGTGCTTCGGCTTAGATTGGTGATTAACGGAAAAGAAAAAATGGCTTAGAATCAATAACACAAGATTTTACAAGATGTACAAATCAGGAGGCGCAATTGCCCAACTGGTTTCAATTTTTGGCTTCAGCTTTTATTCCAGTTATTTAAATATTGAGTTCAATGGTTCACTGATGTCATGTAATGTGGCGGATCGTAAAAAATTGGATAGTGTTGTGGTTACGGACGAAATTTCGTCATAAAAAAGGTATTGAATTCCTTTTCAATATTAATTGTCTTTTCTTAAATATTTCATTACATTTTTGTTCACTTTGTACTTCGTTTGCGTTTATTTGACTTTTTGAAATTTAAATTAATTGCTCACCATGTTTTGAGACAAAGCCGATTGACAAAAGCTTAGCAGACGGCAAAATATTCTCCTTGTCTGTATTTGTTTGTGTCCTATTCGTATTCTTCCTTTTGTTTTTCGCTGAATCGGCATCTAATTAAACATAGAATTATACGTTGTAGTTTCTCTAAATTACAATTATACGAATACATTCAAAAACAAAGAAATGACAGGCAATTTGATATGTAGATCAAAAAGTTTTTCGTATTATGATCTGTTGTTTTATATTTGATGTCTTCAAGAAGTGAATCTTAGAATTGAATTTCAGATATTAAAATTGCGAGTCGCCTTTATCTGATATGAATTATGTAAAAGTAATAATATATTATTGTCTTGTGATTAGTGTCCTCTAAAAAGTAATTTGATGTTGAAACTTATATCATTATGTGTTCCAGTCTTTGTGTAGAGTGATTTTTTGTATAATTACAATTGTTGTATAGCTGTATATAAAAATTAAAGTAACAAGTAATCCAGTTCAGTGTCTTCATTCCATACTATTCACTTTTATAAATGTGGGAGGATAGTAGTTTGTGCAACTGATCTTTTGATACTTCTTTGTTATTCTTTTACACCATTTGCTCATCATTAAAGAAAATCGAACATTCAATTACAAGGCTTCGATATACCTGCAATAAAACAATAAAATATTCATTATCTTTATAGAAAAATCAGAAACACATGTCTACAATCAATAGGTTTCTCTAAGAGAAAGGTCAGAATCATTCGAATAAAAGAAATTTGCATAAACATATTTAAATCTCTGCTTTAGATAATTTGTTGCAAATAAATCACTACACTTTCTTTCATACAAACTTCATATTTATATGTTTATTCAGTAGCGTAGCCAGTCTGACTTTACTCTGGCTATGCAAATATTTTTCGCATTTAATAAATATGAAGAGTTTTTTCAAAATAAATGTGTTTAAACATCTCATGATTGCATCTTCAGTATAATAAGAATATTATGTATAAGCATGATAATTTTATATAAGAGTAATATGATACAGCAGGGGTCTCCAAACTACGGCCAGCGGGCCAGATGCGGCCCGTTGGGCCTCTCAATCCGGCCCGCAGAGACACTTAAGCCTGTTTTCCACTAGCCACGTATCGTAACGTATCGTAGCAAAACGTAACATGGCGCATGCGTGATTGTGCGTATTGACCACCAAATTCACAAGCACGCATGCGCCATGTTACGTTTTGCTACGATACGTTACGATACGTGGCTAGTGGAAAACAGGCTTTAAGAAAGCCAATTTCACAACTCACATTGAGAAAACTGACCAGGCTAATTGTGATTTTGTTATGATATTACTTTTCATTGAAATTTAAGCTTTAAATTTTGAATAAATATTTTCTTAACTAATGAAGCTTGTGTAATGTACTTCGTTTTGTTATAATATTCGTTCTTTGACCAACGGTATACGGTTCGTCGGCCCTCATCATGCTGGATGAAAGCTCATGTGGCCCTTTGGCTGTAAAGTTTGGAGACCCTTGTGATACAGTGATACAATTATCATTAGATTATAAATATTAAAATGAAATACTGGTTGGAACTAATTTATGAGTGTATTTACAGGCTGAATATAGTGTTAAAACAAAAAACGTGAACGTTGAGATTACGATTAGTTTTGTTAATGTGAAATGCTTCTTTTAAAAAAACTCGTCGTGTTTATTAAATGCGCAATATCAATAGTGGGTTTACGCAGTTGCGGCAAATATTTTTGTGTTTATTGACCGTAAGAACAAAAGATTTCTAAAGAAATACTTCTAGTGTATTAGCTTTTATTTAGACAAATTAAAAGTTAATTTGTGATTACCACAATTATTATCGGTAATGGACCTATATTGCGATCTCAAATCTTGTCGACCGAGTCATAATTGTCCAAGCGATGGATGCGTTCCAATGTATCAAGTTTATCCGGAATAGACGCCCGCAGTTCGTCGAAACGGCGGTAAGCTTGTCTTTCTAATTCTTATGAAACCCCAATTGCACAAACACCGAGCGCTATTCTCATTTATGAACTATGCAGCCTCTACCAAATAGACCATAAAAAATTCGTTGTTTTTGACATTGTATATATCAACACTTTGACACATTTACGATCATCATATGTTGTCAACAATAATTTCAAAACAGAATGTTTCTGGAAACTTACACATTGAATTTTATTTAGTTCGACCAACCTTGGTGATGTACTTAGTTTTTTGATTATTTCTATAACATTTTTATTATTTAGGATCAATTCAAACTCTGCTACCGTGCAGTGAACTGCGTATTGAGTTGTCGACGGCTACTTAAATTTCTCGGAAATAGGTGGAAGTTGAATTTTATACTGTACAAATTTCTGGAAATTTTTTTTAGATGTTTGCTGGAATGTTACATGATCTGCAATTTTGTCTTTCATGAAAAAATAGAATTCAACATAAAAAACTTTTAAATATTTGCTTTAGTTTTAACAAGGAGAGTCCAGGTTAAGTATCGTTATATGTTTATAGATGTAGATCGTCCAGGTTGGTAAAATCCTGGAAATGACTGTTGGTGTTAATGTTGACTGAGATTTTGACATCGTTGACTCTAACGATGACTACCGCTAAGGTTGTTGAAACGTAAGTTAAAATCAACACCAACAGTCCTTCTCAGGACTCTACTGAACTCGACAATCTACATGTGTAAACATGTAGAGTCCAGGTTGTTCGGAAACCTGGTGAGAGTGAATAATTCTGATTAGGATTTAAAAGGAATTTGGAACATAACATAGCAGTGACGTAGCAAGCCCGCAAGTTTGGTCGTGCTATGTAAATTTTTCAGTGCTCACTTACTGTTAAAACTGTAGATTTCTAAAGAAATGAACAATGATAATGATCTAAAATTTACATAGCACGATCAAATTTGAGGGAGGACTACGAATTTTGTCAATATTTTAAATAGTACAACATCAGTAATTTTTTTTGATTTAAATATATTAAATTGAGTACTAAGAACAAAAGTTGTAAACAAAAAGCAAATCGAAATTAATCGCGAGTTCGAAACAAACAATCGACCGCGGCCGTTGCCTCATAGCGGCCGTTGCCGTTGAATTTTCGAGTAATACTTGCTGTAATAAGTTTCCTGTTTATCTTTTGGAAATATCCACTATTTCACCAATGTAAACAACCAAAAGCAACAGGTTTGGTAAACAGGTTTATTGGATTCAGTCGTGACATAAAATGACATCGTTATCATAAAATTCATTTTTTTGCTGTCCAGCTTATGCAGATTAAAAATGTTGATGTAGGAAGCATAAAGTGGACGTCTGACATACACAGTAGATTTTGTTCGTATTACTTCGTATTTTGTTTGTATTCTATCTAGTGATATCACTCTATATGGATTATTTAAGGACTCAAGATTCTATATCATGACAGATTATAAAAATCTGATGATAAAATGTACAACGAGTGAAATAGTAATAAATGTTAATAATTATTAATACATATATGTTTATTATTTTTAAAGGACATCAATTAAAGTTGGATGATACGCGTAATCAACTACGCGCCACAGAAAATTATGGCGCCCACCCAAAAAATAATCACGGTTTGGCAGAAATTTTACCTGAAGTGGAAGGTATAAAAAGAACTGCTGAAGTCAAAGGAGCTGTCATTGTTGTGTGCAGGTCATGTATGTATATGGAGTGCGCGTTTTCTTAACGTCTCACATAATCGCACGGATATTGCAGTGTACGTGGGAGGGGAGGGTTCGGAACTATGCAACAAACTTAATCCTTATGTTTTGAAACTCAATTTTAATTGAAACTGACGTATTCTTAATTCCATCTATGTTATTATGATGGAAATTATTTTTTATTTCAGTGGTGGTTCTATTTGATATCTCTAATCTTGCAGATCGCGTTAATCTGTCCAAGTGGTTGATGTATTTTAGTGAATCTATTTGCTGCGTTCCTCTAAGGATCAGTGGTAAGTAATCTCATTTATAGCAAAAGTATAAGCGACAATTTTTCTGCATGCAAGCAAGAATATGACTCTTTACAATCACACGATTTTCAAAAATGTTGTAGATAAAGATTGAAATTGTTAGTTTACGTATGTGAACTACATACAATCTTTCATCAATGAGATCTCCAATTCAGCAACCCGTTTTTCAAACTTTGTCAATACTTTCAGATGCAAGAAATCACATTTAAATATCGCAAGCGTAACTTCCGGTGAAACAGCGCACTTTGATTGGTTCAGAAACATTTTTCCATGTTTTTTACTCTTTCATAATGAACCAGTAGTCCATTACATGTATATTTTCAAATAAACGTAAACAAACTTTGTGAAGCAAATAGCAAACGCAAAAAAAAACGAAACAAAAGCCATATACGAATGTGAGT